GGAGTTCCACAAGGCTCTGTTTTGGGACCGCTCCTTTTTCTTCTATACATAAATGATATTGCCAATTCCTCGGATTTAGGAACCTTCATACTATTTGCTGACGACACCAACATTTTTATTGATGGAAAAACTGTAGAAGAAGCTTATGAGAAAGGCAACAAATTGCTAAGCTGTATAAAAAAGTATATGATCCTTAACAAACTTCACATCAACATGTCAAAGTGCTGTTATATGCATTTTAAACCAAAGGCTAGTAAACCAGTAGAATTGCCAGATTCGCTTCAACTCCATATTGATGGCTTTCCAATTAAAAAAACCAAAGCAACTAAGTTTCTTGGAGTTGTTATTGACGAACAGCTTTCCTGGGGGCCTCATATAACAGCACTTAAACGAAAGTTAAACTATGCCTCTGCCACCTTAAATAGAATTAGGGACTCTGTACCAAAGGAACTCCATAAAGACCTCTACCACACACTATTTGAATCCCACCTCACATATTGTATCTCAGTTTGGGGTGATGCAGCACTCTTTAGGACAGCAAGTATCTGGCTGTCTCAGAAGCACTGTGTACGGGTCCTCTTTGGTGATAAAGAGGCATACCTAAACAAGTTCCTTACATGTGCAAGAACAAGAGAGTTTGACAGCCAGGCACTTGACCATACATCCTTCCAACTAGAGCACTGTAAACCACTTTTCAAGCAACAAAACATCCTGGCTTTCAAAAATTTATATACATATCACACATTTATGGAAGTTTTTAAAATACTAAAACTAAGGTGCCCAGCATCACTGCAACAGCATTATCAGTCATCTTCTAGAAAGGAAACCACTATCATTTCACAACTCCCATCTAATGACTTTATATCAAGATCCACCAAAATTTGGAACACAATTGCACCTAAACTTAAGCTCTTTGACTACTCCTACAAGATTAGCCTTGCTAAAAGTCGCCTGAAAAAGGCACTTCTAAAGCTGCAACATGCTTATAATGATTCGGCATGGACCACAAGCGATTATGACATAATGCAGCTGTCATTTGAAAACAATCCCCTTCATCAAATTTAATCCAGTGATCTCGGCCCACAGGCTCCTAGTCCTCCTATTAAACAATTTTGATTTTGGTAAATGTGTGCTGACTCCACCACCTATGTATTTAACCTAATATTTAGTGTATTACAGGTAGAAATTGACTTAGGTAGGTATTTTTCTCTTAGGTAGATATTAAGAATTTGGATAATTTCTTAATTGTATGACTATTTCCATTACTGAGACGTTTTTAATATTTAATTTAGGAGGGTTTTTGGATTTTTTTTTAGGACTGGTTCACAGAGTGAACAGATTCCAGATTTATATATTTTTAAACTGATATTTAATAAATGATTAAAAGAACAAATTTTAAAGTTGCCATTAGATCCAAAAATACACCCATTATGCTCACTTAAAAACAACTCTAAATCAGTAGGCTGTCACTCTATTAATGCACCACACCGCTACCTCCACTGCACTAATAGTTATACAATAAATTCTACAATCCTAATTTTGTGTCGTGATGGAGACCGGTGTTCATACAAAACATTTACTAGGTTGCCGTTTGGTGTGAGCAATAGCGAACAGCACGCACACTCCTTTGCCCCGTCAACCTATATCTAATCTATTTAAAGAGTGACAACCATACTGCACATTGAATTAGGATTCCGTTAAATATCAAATTGATTTATTGTAAACTTGTTTAATCTGTAATAAATGGCATAAAATTGAAATTTTTGTTTAACTGAAATTTTTGTTTAACTGACTTAACAATGTTCATATGGGCCCCTTGTTGCCGTCGCGTGTTTGACCAAATATTCGAATTTCCAGTTCATAGGATTGTTCCGTATGACAATTATTTACATATTTAGCGAGGGCCCCGCTGACCCCGCTGTGCAGGGGGCCGGGCGCCATCTTAGGGGCGCGCCAAATTGTCATTGAATGTAGGACAATTTCGAAAACTTAACTTAAGTACTAGCAAAACTGCGCGTTTTGCTCTAGATACTGTACACTTTTCTAGAGATTTTACCGGCGTATCCTCTAAAATCACCTAATTTGTTTAATTCTAGGGAGGGGCACCAAAAGAGGAAGGGGCGCCAACAGGGGGGCGCTTTTTTGGCGGGGGGGCGCCAACAGGCAACGTTACGCCACTGCCACCATGACCATGTAAATTCCGTCACATATTTAAGAAATTTATACGAGGGATGTTTATGACACTCTGACAAGGAATGCCGAATAGTCTAGCATTATTTTATGACCTGAATGTGTTGGGAATTGTTAAAATATTTTAATATTATAAGTAAATAAGATTTGAGATCATGAATACGATGTAGTTACACTGAAACGTCGAGTAATCTCCTTTCCCTAATAAGAGCATTTTTACTTGTCGCAACAACCGGGATAAAGATAATTTTACCCAGAATACATTACAACAATGCGACTCATAAATAATACTCCAATCCGGATTTTACATAAATAAGAACACATAAGGCACAAATAGGTAAATAGGTATATTTGTAGGATATCCCAACATGTGAGAAATTGAGCAAATATTGGTATACCAGCTTGAACACCCTACATGACGTACTATGGATCAATCAACATTATTGTAATCACGTACCTGTCTCATAAATTATTATGTGGCAGTAATATGATAACATTGGCACAATTATAACATCTCAACATGGTAAAAATATGTAAATTTCGTCACAAAACAAATGATTACTTTAATTGCTCCTTGTTGGCAAAATAACTAGTTTATCGACATAGGTATGGTGATAAAGTAACATTACAATTATATTCTAATTGAGGTATGATTCTTCAAAATGGGGCAAGAAATGTAAATTCCGCCACATAGACTTCGTTTGGGAAGGATTTTTTTATGCGATCAAAACTTTCTTTCAAAGAATACCATATTACTACATACAACATACTAGCTTCCTCCCTGTTACCACGGGCTTTCTAGTAATAATAATAAATTTAAGTTTAAGAACACCAATATTAAGATAAACTTATACTCAGCAGAGTTTAATCTAGTCATCCAAGAAACATTCATGATAAAATATAGTCCGACTGGTAACATTATTGATTTTAATGTTGTGGCATTGCATAATTTATTGTGAATATAATATATGTTTCAGAATTATGTAATGTAACGTAATGGCAGTATTGTAAACTAAAATCAAAATACAAAAGATCGACAGGAGCACCTTTGTCTAAAATATAAAGAATATTATCAAATGTCTCTAAGAGATTAGATAGACAAGATTTACCCTTCACAAATCCATGCTGATGCTTTGAAATTCGTTCTTCTAAAAATGTTAATAAATGTGCCCTCACCAACTTTTCATACACTTTGCACAAAATACAAGTTAATGAGACAGGTCTATAATTTAAGGGACCAGATTTAACACCCTTTTTGAACAATGCTACAACAGATGCTGTCTTCCAAATGTCAGGCAGGACTCCTGTTTCTGAACACTTAACAAATAATTTAGTTACAGCTTCAACAAACTTTTCATCGTATGCTAAGGATTTCAACAACTTTGGATGAACGCCATCCGGACCAGAACTCTTAAAAACATTAATCTTTAAAAGCTGCTTCTTGATATCAGAACTGCTAATTCCCACATCATCAATCACCTCTTTGTTATAACTCTCATTTTGGGGAAGAGGGCCAGGTGGTTCACGCACAAACACAGAACTAAAGGCACTAGCAAGTACCTCAGCTGACTCAGATGAACTATCTGTGCGTGTACCATCTCCTCTTTTCATAAATTTGTCTGTTTCACAATATGCAATGTGGAAAGTGTACTTTTAAAATTGTGGGGTTTTATTTTTACTAGACCACTTCACATATAACATTACAAATGGTTATTTTCTAATATAATATATAATATAATAATATGTATAATGTATAATAATATAACAACCTAGTGTTCCAAAATTACTATCCTTTTTTGTGTTTTATATTTTTTGGGGTTTTCGAACTTTATTTTATTAAATTTATTAAATGGGTTCATATAAAGGAATTCAATCAATATACACATAATATAGCAATGACCCAATATATATGATGAACAATAATGGCCACTGTCAAAATTCTATGTTTATTATTTGAGTTTTTTTTGTGAAAATATGATAATATTCAGTCATCCGTAAAAATTTTGTCATATGTTGTATATGACCCGCCGCGTACGAAGTGCGCAGCTCCCCCTGTATCGTCGAGAACGATACTATAGTGAAGCGACCGTGGGGGTCACCACGTGCAACGTGATACAATGAAAATTGGCCACGGGCCTAAATATTACATATATTCAATCAATTACAATTAATTACTATTACCAATATTAAAAACGAGCAAACAACAGCTAGTTAATAGCTAGTTGACAGCTTGTAGCGCGATGCGTTACACTCAATGAGGCTTCTCACAGGCTTCTCCTGGCTAGATCGGCGAGATGCGCTACTGTGCCGCGCCGAGCTGCCATGAATTGACATCGTCAATTAAGTTAACAGCTAAGTAACTTATTATTATACATTCAATTTTCGAGATTTTCTCAAAAATTGTAACCAATTTGAATCAGTCGTAATTTATAATTTGTTCTCATTAATTTTTTGCAATGTATTAAAAATCCATGTATGCACAATTTATTAATTGACGATGTCAATTCATCTCAGCTCGGCGCGGCACAGTGCAGTAGCGCATCTCGCTACAATAGGTTTACAACATACATGTCGCTGTGAGAAGCCTCATTGAGTGCGCGGCGCGGCACAGTAACGCATCGCGCTACAATAGGTTTACAACCTACCAGGACGCGCGCCGAGTTGGACTCGTCGACGGTCCTGTATTTATGGAATATATGGAACAGATATTTCACGAGTATCACCCGTTAACCTGGGGTCCCCAGATCAGGATATTTGTTGTATCACGTGAACCCCACTGTTGCTTCACTATAGTAAAGTTTTAATACTTTCAACACTACTATATAACAAATAATTTGAGGGATGGCAAGTAACAATGTACCCGAGAGGGTGTCGATACGAAAAAAACGTGGAGTCAAGACGAGTCCCCCTAAGGATTCATCTTCTGATAATGTCCCAGTGCCAGAGGAAAAATACTGCCAATGTGATGTTTACATGTCAGAAGAACTATCAGTTGAATGTGAAGCTTGCCAATTATTTTGGCACCTGAGTTGTGTTGGTTTATCTGGCCTTAAAAACGAGATGTTACTGAATCTAACAAACTGGAAGTGCCCATACTGTTTTGTGGCGCCTCATACCTCAGCTGACACTAAGGAAAACAGGGCTGTCAGGGCTATTATTAAAGAGGAACTCCAACATTTGACCCCAGCCCTGACTAACTCGATTAAGGAAGCTATTAAAGGAAGCGCAGAGAAAACAGTTGACAAAGCTGTTCGTCTCTATTCTGAGGTAACAGCACAAACCCAGAAGAAGGTTCTCGATGACATGAGTCGTGAACAAGCTTCTGAAACTGTTATTTCGGAAGTGCAAATGAAGATGCACACTGATACATTTGAGCGAAACAAACGAAAACTCAATCTGTGTGTGCTCAAGGTTCCAGAGAGCAAAAAGACTACCTCTAAGCAACGCCAGGAGGACGACTCCAAGTTCTGCAGGGAGACCCTAAAGATTAAGAAGGACGACATGATAAGTTGCCATCGCTCTGGCAAGCTTGATGCTGACAAGCCAGATCATCGTCGCCCGCTCATCATCCAGACACGAGATGAAGAGTCAGTAAATTTCTACGCTGACCATGGTAAGGGCTGGAAAGAGTCAACTTATTGGATCAACTTGGACCTCTGCAAGGCAGACAGAGATATTCGTTTTTTAGCCAGAAAGGAGAGGAAGAAGAGGCAGGAGGAAGCGAAGAAAAGAGAGACAGAGAAGACGAAGGAGGAAGCAAAGAAAAGAGAGCCAGAGAAGACAGAGGACAAAGCGGAGGCCGCAGTGCCCAGCCGTTAAATATTTTTTATACCAATGCTAACGGCCTATTTAATAAAATCGATGAACTAAAATGTATTTTATCAATGTATAAATCTATTGAGGTAATTTGTGTAACAGAAACTCATTTTAGTAGTGATATATTAGATGCCGAAATTTATATTGAAGGATTTAGTATGTTTAGAAAAGATAGAGATTTTAGAATTGACAATTCCACTGGCAGTATAAGTGGTGGAGGAGGCTCTATAATTTATGTTAAAAACTGTTGTAATGCTTCACTAGTGAACTCTTTTTTAAAGGCACCGGATTCTTTAGCTGTTAATATCAACACATCAGGTGGACTGATTAGTATTTGTTGTATTTACAGATCCACTTCATTGAATTTAGAACAGAATAATGCATTAATATCTTGTATCAAGAGCATCTGTAGTGAAAGGAATGATTCTGAAACACTCCTTTTAGGAGATTTTAATTTACCAAATGTTTTATGGGAAACTGGTAGCATAAATAGTAATATTGCTAGCAAGAACCAGTTTTTAGTTACTCAACAGAAATTCAGCTTATGACAACAATTTTGTTGAAGCATTAACTAAATTATTTCAAAAGTGTTCAGATACAGGATCTTTACCTGCAGTGTGGAAATCTGCATCTGTTGTAGCATTGTTTAAAAAGGGTATTAAATCGGACCCCTTAAATTATAGACCAGTTTCATTAACGTGTATTTTGTGCAAAGTGTATGAAAAGTTGGTGAGAGCACATGTATTGAATTTTCTAGAACATCGAATTTCGAAGCATCAGCATGGATTTGTTAAGGGTAAATCGTGTTTATCTAATCCTTTAGAGACATTTGATGACATTCTTGACATTTTAGATGAAGGTGCCCCGGTTGATCTTCTATACTTTGATTTTAGTAAGGCATTCGACACAGTCCCCCACTTTAGACTTCTGTCTAAATTGGAAGGCTTTGGTGTCAAAGGAAAGGTTTTAGATGTTATTAAAGATTTTCTGACAGACAGGACTATGAGGGTTTCTGTAGAAGGACAATGGTCCGAGGTTAAACATGTTTTATCTGGTGTTCCTCAGGGGTCAGTTCTATGCCCTCTCCTATTCATTCTGTATATTAATGATTTGCCTGATCTTGTGAAAAATAAGATAAAGTTATTTGCTGATGATCTTAAATTAATTGGTAATGCAGCTAACCACGGTAGTGTTGCTGAAGATATCGAAGAATTAGAAGTTTGGGAAAGTATTTGGCTTTTACAATTTAATCCTGCCAAGTGCAAAGTAGTGCACATTAATTTTAACAACAATCCTAATTTAAATTATAAAGTAAATGGTATAGAACTTGAAGTATCTGCACAGGAAAAAGATTTGGGGGTTATTACCCATAGCTCCCTGCTTTGGAACGAACAGATCAAAGCATGTATCGCTAAGGCAAATCGTATGATTTGTTGGATTGTAAGGAATTTAGTTATTAGAGAAAAGGTTGTTATGATTGCTATATATAAAGCTTTAATAAGACCTCATCTTGAGTATTGTGTCCAATTGTGGAATCCACCTGCGGCTCATGGAAGTTGGGGGACTGTTTTGGAGCTGGAGAGCGTCCAGAGGCGGTTTACCCGTCTGATTGATGAGGTGGGTACTCTTCCTTACAGCCGTAGACTGGAAATCCTCAATTTGACAACGCTGGCAGAGCGGCGAATACGTGGGGACCTTATTGAAGCTTTTAAGGTTATTAATGCTATGACTGATTATGGTTCAGACTTGTTCAGACCAAGCAGATCAGGTCTTAATCTGGTTTCATCCAATAGATGTAGTAAAAGTGTGACAAAGGTCAAGAATATCCAGAAGTCTTTTCTCCCGGAGCGAGTTATTCCATATTGGAACAAACTCCCTCCGGACGTCAAGAACTCTGTGACAGTTTTAGGTTTTAAAATTAAATTAGAAGGATATAAGATAGATATGATTTCTAAAAGTATTACAAATGATTGCTTTTTTTGGAATGTTTCTAATGAAGTTTTAGTAAGAATTGAGGGAGCCAGTTATGTCAGTAATAAAGAGAAACATAACAATTATCTTTGGTTCCATCCTTATGTGGCAAAGAAGCGTTTTATAAATCTTTATTCCACTGGGAAGTTTTTAAAATAGGATAATGTTTTTGATGAAATTGTTTTTAAATATTGTATTTGATAATTAATTAATGTTGGTGGGGAAATATTTATTATATATTTTTTCACACAGTGCGATGATAGTTTGTAGACATGTGTGATGATGTGATGTCATAAATTTTACTTTACTTTACTTTACTTTACGATACAGGGGGAGCCGCGCACTCGTGCGCGGCGGGTCATACAACGTATGACAAGATTTAATTGACGATGTCAATTCATCTCAGCTAGGCGCGGCACAGTAACGCATTGCGCTACAAGACAAGCATATTTGAAAGCTCGTTGACTGTTTGATAAACATTAAATTAAATAAGTGTACTGCGCGTCACACATTATATACTTTGAATTGTGAATGGTAATATTGTAGTGTTACGATTTTTCACAAAGTAGATATCCCCCGAGAATAAAGTTTTGATTTCATTATGACAAATTATTTTGTTCCGATGTTGACCAATCCAGTCGTAGTTGGGAGTTTGCCATTTCCTTTGATGCGGGCTATATCTCCATCGAAAGCACATCTAATTGAATACGAATGAATATAATTAGTTCTATAACTTGATCGATTCCGCACTTAGTTTCGACCAAAATCGAACAGCCACGGGAATCGTTTAAAATCTCCTCTTACGGGATGTCAAATCTGCTAATACTTTGCTAATACTATTTGCCGCCAGCAATACCAGGAAAATCAGTTTCGGTGAGTTGCCATTGACTGAGTATCATTGGAAAGAATTCAACTCTTAAAATTTTTATAAAGTCACATACTCTGCCCACAATAAGGGGCCATGATTGTGTTAATTAATTAACTGTATAGAATTATTATTAAACACATTATAGAATTATTATTATTAACTTTTAACCCAATTTCCTTTATATGGTTGAGGGGACTATATGTGGCATCGCCCAAAGTGTTTCTCGCATCATGCTTATAGTCATATACCTCTTTGGTGTTTGGGTGATACCATTTCATCCACTTCTTTTTGTTTGTTAGATTGATTTGCCATCTACTTCTTATTCACTGCACTCCTGACAGACAAGAACTACAATTTTGAGTGCATCATTGTTCAATCATCATCCTCTCAAATGCCCAAAATGGCTGTAGCTGTCATCGAATCATTCACTTGGCCAAATTATCTTTCTTAACTTTATCACAGTACATCAACCTAATGAACAATTTAAGTAACAACGAATAATAATATCATTATAAACATAGTTAAACTTGAACATCCGATAATAAACTCATGAAAATTAGATTTGCTATGTAAAATATGCTTTTTACTACATGCTACTCGAAAATTCATCTCAATCATATATTTATATCAGCGCGGTGCTAGTCACTTATTGTAATAACGGCGCTGAGCCTAAACTAATGAATTCAAAAATATAATAAAATTCCAAAGCAAAAGTAAAAGTTATTCTAAAAATATTTCATTAACTGACTAGTGTATTCTAAATGTTTAAATTTTATAAATCGATAGTCTATAATGCCTTATTCCCATGTATCCTTCTTAACGCCATTTGAATTCTTCTCAACATAATTTAAATTATAACTTCAACCACTATCTGCAAGGCAACCACTATCTGCAAGGCAATTTCTTGTGAATACCCAACTAACCTGAAATCATTTGTGATGAAAAACTTTCCTCATTATGGCAACTGATTCATGTGATTTGGTGGGCGATAATTATCAGAAGATTTCCATAAAATGAGTTTCTTCCTAAATTTTAGCCCTCCGTAATTTGTAACTAGGATTACTAAGTGGACGAACCGCTTCCTCTTTCCAATATCCCACTGTTTTGCACCTTGTTGGTGGCGTATTTATAATATTATATAAAATTGCTGTCAAACGGTTCACCCGGTTAATCAAGGGTATTGGCACACTGCAGCAGTTTTGGAAATTCTGAATTTAACTTTGCTAGCTGAAAGAAGAATCCGTGGAGATCTTATAAAAACCTTTAAAATATTCTGTGTTTTAGTAGGATATGGTTAATAATTTTCAATATTAGTAGAATATTGTTTCAAAGACAAAGTGCAATATTAAAAGCTCTTAATTCAGGAATATTCTTGGCGTTTTTCTTCCTGAGAGAGTTACACCTTATTGGAATTTCCTACCATTGGATGTCAAGAACTCTTATAGTGTAAATAATTTTAAGATAAATCTAGAGTATGTTAAGAATAGTCATATTATCCTAAAAGGATTTTGTTTTGATCATCATGGAAAGTGTCTGATGAGGTGATAAGTAGAATCGAAGGATATAATCATTTGGAGAACAAGAGTTATCATAATGATTATCTGTGGCTTTATCCATATTTAGCAAAGAAGAAGTTCATTAATTTGAAGTAGAGCTGTTTGCCCTAACTTGAAATGTCTGATTTATTAAAATTAACTCTATGAAGTTATAATTTAAATTATTAAGATATTTTTATGAACATTTTTGATGATCTTATGTATCACAATGTTTTGATTTGATTTTGTTTATTACAATACGTGAATCAGAAGCTCTCAGTCACTATACTAAGACATCTTTTATGATGTTTTAGAAGACATATTTCTATTTCGGTGGATTCTATTTGGGATAATTTATTGTTTGTTGCTGAATATTTCCACATTACTTTTTAGAACAGCTCTGACATTGTTAGTTTGACGTTGTTAGTCGGTGTTACTTGTGCCAGTTGATATCCATTTGAGCAGTTCATGTGTTGTATGGTTAAATTTTGGGTATTATTAGATTTAATATCATGAAATGGTATCTTAGAGCATTTATAAGGTAGGACTGTACAGGTGTTTTTGGACATTCTTTATTCTCTACTATAGTATGTGCATTGTGCATATGTCCTGAACTACAAGTTGTATTCATACATGTTTATTTGTTCTCAATGTTTAATAGCCAGTGTTAATGTTGCTGCCTTGTTATTGGTAAATTTGAACTGATATAAAAGTGCAAATTTTTATATTCCCAAACAAAGTCACGCTTGAAAGGCTTAAATAGTAAATATATATTTCATGTTTTTAATGTCGAAGCGTGCTATAAATACTAGAATATATTTATTTAATTTAGAATGTTGTTGGTACTCCTAATTCAGAGGATGATCACCCATTTCCGGTAAGGAGTGTAAGTGTTAACTTGTCTGAGAGTCACGAAACTACAGTTTTTTGGTTTTTTTGGACAGCCAAGCCAAGGATTTTTGCGGGTTTTGCAGCGTGACTTCTGGGATTTAAATAAATGTCACCACACTATTTTATGTGATTGGTAATTCAATGCATTATTGACAGTTGACACGCTTACGAGAGTCAAACTTTTTATGGTAGCTACTCGTTATTTTTACTAACTCTGCTTTTCAGTTCCTCAGTTTAATTCCCTTTGAAGGGTAACATTAGCAAGAAAAACATTCCTGCAACATTCTTTGTTATAAGAATTTCTATGCGAACTCTAACAATCACGCAGCATTTAAGTGAAAACATTAATATATGTGTCATTCAGGAATTTGTACCTCACTTATTCGTTGTGCCTTGACCATTTTAACCGCAAAACCCCAAACTCACTCAGCTGTACTTTGATAATTGTATGTGGTGCCGCACCAAAATAAAGGGTCCTTAATCGGAAGATGCCTGGGACATTATTTAGAATTATTATTATCTTTAATTATATTTAAACGTATTTCTGTGTTACAATATATGATAATCTAATTTAATTTAAACATAATTAATATTCTATGACAATGTGTCATCCCTTCCCCTCCGTAATAATAGACTATTAAACCAATGATAACCAAACGTTCCGGTAACTTATTTGAATTATAAATAAATTGGTAACGAAAATGGTTTATAATTGTAATTAAATGTGTATAATACTGAACAAATTATAAAGCTTTGATTTTGTGTCATCTCAATAATACTCACGTCTCACAGCTGCATGACAAGAGTTGCTCGACGAACCCGACAATATGAATACTACGATCTGTCGATGTATTCTGTTATTCCTATTTTTAGGTAAGTTAGTTTGTAAACTCGAGAGTTAACTGAATACTTTAGCGTTGCTTCTTTAAAATTAAATAGTTTCAAAGTTTTCAGATTTTGAATTGCCGCCCTCAATCTTTGCAAAGTTCACCGAGTTTTCATTTTCAGGAGTCATAGCAACTTCTGCGAAGAGACCGAGAGCTCTAAAGTTAAAATCGGTTAGTATCTTCTTATTTATATTAGCGACAATAGAAACGCTATTGTTGGCGTGAGGAGAGCGAGGACTCCTCAAACTGCATTAAATATATTCCTTCTGTAACGTAATCAATAAATGTAATAGATTTGTAGTGTTGTTATTAGTTTAAAATATAATATTGTTATCCTTTTCATAGTTAATAATACACGAGTTCTAAATTAAGTCCATTTTATAAATATTCGTTATCTAAACCAGTTTTTTCTTCTCAGAAACGTAACCGCGGACAACTTGGAAGACGATCAAGTAAGTGGAAAACCCCTTGTTAAGCGATTGAACTAATTTTATACGTACCACTCAAATATGATTGCCCTAGTACCGAAATTCATCTCACCTTATTCGATTTAAGCAATCAACCAGTCCCGTAGCAAGTTAACACCCGGTAAAACTTAACGATGATCGAAATTTGATTTGTCTAAGATTAAGTCAACTTCAATATCACACAAGAAAATCATACAGGTCTTTACCTATTTTATCAATTATGTGCTCTGATTGAACAAACTATTTACCTTTTTGATCAAAAGCACTGTACCCTCTCACAATCCCTCTACCAAGTTCCAACAGGGCAACTGGAGAAGGTGGACGGTGGGTACAGCGAGTGGAACCTCTTCAGTCTGTGTAACCAACAAACCTGCACCGAGACTTGGATCCGGTACTGCAACAGCCCCCGACCCCGTAATGGTGGGAAAACGTGTGTCGGAGAGAGCTTCAAGAAGGAGAGATGTGGGGACGCCTCCAAGTGTGGTGAGTAGAAATTCATTTTTTAGTGAATTTAATGAAGTGTAGGTGTAACATGTGAATAAATAATATTTTTGCAGGGAGTCTATGTTCAGTATAAACTGGCCTTATACTCTAAGTAACAATACCATACATTGATATAACCAACTTGAGAGGGACAGAGCCAAGAAGTTTGCCGGATTTTTGCGTTACCTACTCACGTCCGTTGTTTTGTGTAAGCTGGACTCTGGGTATGCCGCTCATTTAGGGTTGTAGTGTGTTGTTAACCATGTCCGCAGACCTCATTAATCAATATTCATGATTATAGGAAGATCCGTACCTAACCACCACCAACACCTTCTCCCTTGAGATAGCCGTGGGTTTGAGACGCCCCGCCGGCTGTCTCATTCCGTTTGAAATATTGAGTGAACTTACGGGAATTGCTAATTTCACTTCAGCAGGTGCATTGGTGCAAGGTTATCTTATTAATGGAATATTATTTAGCTGATAAGTAATAGCGCCATAAAGTTTTTAAATTGCCGCTCTGTGATTTAATCGATTATTAAATCGAATTGCGAATTATTACGGTCTAAATAAAAATAAAAATCACCATGATGAAATTAAGGAACCACATATAGAGTAAAGGATTCTTAGCTACTTTAGTTTGTCCTTTGAAGGTTTCTTATTTAACGCTTCTTAATTCTTTTAGCTAATAAATTCGTTAAAAAAAGTCTAAACATCGTTCTCTCATGATCGTATTCATCAACTCGTCTCGCACTATCAAGTCACACAACTGCAAATCCGATACCTATCTATCCATTTTTACGACAGTATCATCGCCACCGGCCACGTCGTGTCATCATCATCAGTATATAGGACAAAACCCAGAAGAAAAAGGACCACCTAGATATTCTGATACCTCACAAATCAGTCTCCCGTAATGAGATGTTGTTTTGATATCCCCCTGTTTGTGGATCCTACCCATTACACTATATATCGTTAACGAGCGTTTATCAGATCTCCTGTATTGACCTCCTATGACACGGGGCACATATCTATTTACCCTTGTTACTCTCAGTAAATGTGAACTTACCGTCAATAAGTCCACTAATAATTAGTATCACGTCTCCCCGCTAGTGAAACTGGGGTACCTCGGCAAACTGCACCCCAATATTTGATCAATAAGGGCTCTTTGAAATCTTGTTAAAGAATCCGTGAATAGAAGTGATGGATGATATTTCTACTCTACTGTAAATCTAGTGCAATGAATCAGGGACGTAATGATTTTATCTCCTTGAAAATTTTGTTAGGACTTAATTGAAGCCTTCCGAGCCAAGTTTACCGAGACAGAGCCTGCAAAAAAAGTTACTCGGTTGACCATGCCGGATGATGGGTTTTACTTCCTTTCCGGAACCTGCATTTTCCCCTTTGATCTCGACATTTTGTATTTATTGTTAGCTAACTGACCCTTTAGGTGCCGTCATGTTGACAAATTTATCTGGTTATATTTAGATCACGTTTTATTTATTTCCACCTTGACACTACCTGCATTATCATGGGGGCTCTATTCTGTTAAGTTTCACTCCAGTTCACCTGGCGTAACCATTAACTAGGATAGGAGTGTGGGTACTATTACATGGGAACTATAATCTGTAATATGTCCTGTCTCGTACCTTGCGCTTTTAAACACTGTCCCTGTTCTGTCTTGTGGACCCCCTTTTTTAACACACACACACACGCCCACCACACTATGATAAGTCACTTTGTTGAGTCATAGTTTTTACCTGGACTGTTTTCTCGTCTGATGTTGGTGTGATGTTGGGCTTGTTTTTAGAGTTTTTAAGATTTGTATTGGTAACCCTAGAGCAGGTTTTTGTTATATAGTCGTTCTGGGAGAGTGCTGATGAGTTAGCCATTGTCCTCCTTCTCTGTCTCCCTTTAAGTCCAGACATAGTGTTGCGTTAATACTTAATTCGGTAATAACTAATACTTAATGTTAGTAGTCGGTGACTTAATATAAATACTTAATTCGTTAATACTCAATACTAGTAAGTAGTAGTAGTCAGTAACTTTATATAAATAGTTGAAGCTAACGGAATGTTCTCGGTCCCCCGGGAACTCTACCGCCACTCTACTGGAACACTCCCGCCACTTTGTTACAAGGTGAGAGGGTGGGCTGGATGAGTGCGGGTGCCTATTTAGTGAATGATGTAGTGTGCCGGGGTATTAGTCCTCCTCTCCCCCTATAACCTGGCTCCGGGATAAACCTTGTCCCGCTCCCGACTTCCCGCCATGTCTGCCAATCATCCTTTTTCACAAGGCTCCCGTTTTTTTGTTTCACCTAGGTTTATGCTTTTCCTTTTAGTTAGTGATCCATTTTACGCTTGCCCCCCAAACGTGGACCATTACTGTTACCCTTTTGTCATTCGTGAATTAAATGTCCTGTGGAAGAATTGCGCTTTATTAACTAGACAGTGCTTTAATGTAATCGTAAGTGAGTATCGAGCTCAGTGATATAGTCTGGTATTTGGTGTGAATATGCCAGCTTTTGTCTCCAGATTAAAAATGCGGCTTCCATTCCAGCCAAAGCGTTAACAGATGATTAATTGGTTACTTCACCTAAAGCTTCCAGCATACAATCTCCCATCCCAGTTTAAAAGGAGCATTGGGCGAGTTAGTGGGAATGTCACTGGGGAATATCCCTCATCTGTCTGGAATGATAAATCTAAGTATCTGTTCAGCGCTTTCTCTGGAGTTGTGTAGCGCTAAGTATCTGCTCAGCGCTTTCTCTGGAGTTGTTTAGCGCTAAGTATCTGCTCAGCGCTTTCTCTGGAGTTGTGTAGCGCTAAGTATCTGCTCAGCGCTTTCTCTGGAGTTGTGTAGCGCTAAGTATCTGTTCAGCGCTTTCTCTGGAGTTGTTTAGCGCTAAGTATCTGCTCAGCGCTTTCTCTGGAGTGGTGTAGCACTGAATCCGGCCCGCTGTTTCATTACTGGAAGCCCCGGGCTCTGACACCTGCCATGTCAGCCCCATCGAGTAGTCACCCTCCACAGAAACTGCACCTTGTGAAACCCTCCCACTGCAGCCAAAATATATAATATATTCCGTGTTTCTACTTAAACTTTAAATGTATTATATGCTCCCTACGAAATGAGGGTAATTATCTTCTATATTTATAAGCTATATTGGATACTTTTAACTGACATGGCATCCCTTGGAGGCGCCGCACTTTGTACTGTTACCACTGTATTTTATATTTCTGTGACATCGGTTAATAACTGGAGAAACAAAAGAACAGAGTACTTGTCTCTTGTGAGTTTCTATAATACTTACTGGGGAGAGAAAACTAATCGTTCTGTCAATAATGTATAGTTATTTGTATCCTGTATCAGGGCCCCCTCCCCCCAGTGGTGTCTTTACACCAGGTTTCCAAACATATCTCATTTTTAACTCCCGGTAACTAATCGTATGTTTCATTTTTTTACTCTGCTAGTTCAAGTTGCTAATCATGTCCGGATTCAGCCTGGTACCATAAAGCTGAAGTTGTTGAGCCCCGACATGGGGGGCCGCGTTAATACTGAATAATTATGCAACGTCGCGTCGCTCAATCCCTCATTCTCAGTTGGTTCCTAACTTACTTTGCTTGTCCTGGTTACTGTTTGTTTGATTCCCATTTTGTTGCTTCGCTCTGCCGTCCTACGTTTGTGTCTGCATGCCATAAATTGTATCTCTCCCGGAGATTGTGTTAATGCCTATATTTACTAAATACATGTTCACTAAACCCCGTAGTTGGACCTAATGATGACGAGAACGTGATATCTGTATATCCGCGGATCTGGTGGTGTGGTGGTAGGATCAGATGAGAGAACGAGTATCAGTGTAGCTAAATGAGTAGCGTTAATGGACTGATACTAGTTGCAGTACTCTGTTTAACAGACAGGATACTATCTCACCATGCAGAGGAATGCAGCCACCTTGGTGAGCTCCCCCTACACTTCCAGATGCCACAAATATTTCACCCTGTAGATAAGAATCCTGCTCGTGTAGATTGTATACATTCCACTGTAGAGTGGTAGTGGTTGCTACTATCTGTACTGTGTTAATTAATGGGTTTGTATTTGGTGTCGCAATTCAAAGATAGTTATCTGCTGGTAGTTATCTGCTGGTACTGTGCATTTCAGGGTGTGGCTTCCAACCCAGATGGGGCCTGAAGCTTCACACGTCACATTCTGCTGGCAGTGGGTCGGTAGTTGTATGGTTTATTACCAGACACCAGTAGATCTGCTATCTATATTGGGCCTCAAGCTTCACACTTAACGTTTTGCGACCGAAGGGTTTGAAGTTTTATGGTTTATTGCCAGTAGGACGGAAGACTTATGAGATTCACTGATTCAGACTGAATGTTTCTTATGAACTGCCGAAGTTGTAATGTTTGCAGGCCATGCAGTCCGTCAATATACAGACTCTTACAATTCACAAGATGTAGTAGGTACCTCGCCAGACTTTCTTTCCAGGATTATGTCTAATAGCCAGACGTAGGCAAAACAAAAACGTAATATCTCCTGACAAATTAAGACCCTCAGAGAGTGATATCTTGAATGCTGAAAATGCGCTCTTAACTGAAATCATCAACCGCATCTTTCCCCGCGGGGACACCAAGATATGATTTTAGTATGACCAAGTCTGGTCTCCTGGGGCCGGGCTGGGTGTACCCAACATATAGAATATCGCCTAAAGAACGATAACAATCCATGTCTGTAACCCAGTATCAGTTTTATTTTAAGAAACTTAATACCACAAAGGTTATGAAAATTATTTTACTGCCTCCTCGTTTCTAAGGGAATAATTAGATTCAAAAGCCTAAACACATTTGTGAAGCTAAATTCTGCAGACTGACTTCACTTGCAGTTCGCTCTTATTCACAAAGCTAGAATTAAAAATATCGTTTGATTTTGAAATAAAGTACTCATGGATAAAATTGGACGCCTACATGCTGACCTCTATAATATATCCGATAATTCCCGCGCATACTTCCAGACAAAATGAAAACAACTCTAAAGCTTGCTTGTATCAGTTTGCAACTTTGCATGTCGGTTCCGACTGTGATCTTTCATGTTACATGTGTGGCCAACAATAAATCCCAGCCATCCTGTCACTAAATAATGAATCATAATATCTTACTTCTACCATGATTACACATTTCCAGACAAATTTGCATGGAGGTCAACCCATAATGACCCTTTTACAGAATATCTTCTCCAATTTTGGTGATTTCTTCGTCCCTTGCACACCCACCTACTTTGGATTAACAGTGGTTGGCACAGTGTACAGGAAGTTAAGTAAGGGATACCGACATGCCGTGTTATAATGGATTTGTTGCCCCAGATACACATCTCGTATCCTTTCTGATGTACCTGGAAAGATAGCAGGGTATTACTGGAAAAAATTACAGTAAAAACTTGTCGGGATGTTTTTGTGCCTTTTACGAAAATTGTTAATATAAAATCTAAAAAGCCCCGTTTCTATAGTGATTGTGAGAGTAAATGTTTTTTAAATTTATAAAAAAACAAAAATAGTAATCGAAACTAGGCTGGATCCATAAATATCATCTCGAAAATTCAATAAATTTAAGAAAGGACATTCCTTAAGCTCACCACTTAATTCCATTTGTGCTTTGATATTTGAAAATTTAATTTTAAAACACTCAAACTTTTGAGTCTCAAAGTGATAAGGGCGGTCCCAAACTGTTTAAAATTACTTATTACTTATCATACAGAGGGTCCTTCCCATGAATTATGTTGAATATTCAACGTAACTAGATATCATGGTAATAAGATATGATATGTCACCGATACATAATTAGATTAAGAGGGAGTCTGCCCCTCCGCTACTATGGTCTAGGTAAAAAAGGAGGGGATATATTATAACCGCCCCCCGGAAAGAGAATTAACACAGTACATAGTAGCTTAGTAGATCATTGTCTGTTTCTGCAAACTGTGCAGAGTCAGTCTTCTGCTCAGCAGCGGTATGGCACTGGAGACATCTCAAGTTGCAACTTAATTTCGTGGTAAGCATGCAAGAAATTGATTAGCTTTTATGCTGCAAAAATTTGGAAAATTTGAGTACCGGAAATTATCAATCACGTACTCGTTAGACGAGGGACAGCTGATTTTAGATGTCTAGATGTCATGAAATATACCCAATAGTTTGATTATTAAACAGTATAAGCCCCATAAGTTCAGGCCTGCATTGAAATCTGAGAAACTGAAGTACCCAGAAATTGCCCTTTAACCGCTTCATCAGGCTTAACAAGGAATTGCAAAAACTCACACTTTTATGAAGTTATGAGATGACCTGTCAGTTTTGCATTTTTAAATGAACGCACCCTTACTATGTCGGCAAAAGTCAAAGTTAATATGAATCTTGATTTTTTAATTTTTTGGGCTTAACAAAAACATGGCCACGGTGAGCTACTAAGAAAAAAGAATAAAAAGTGGTAATTAAATTACTTCACAATAGTTGTATTCCTGAAGATGATTTAAGTCAAGAAAATATAATTCCTATAATTCCATAAGATGATTTAAGTTAGGAAAATTGAATTCCTCCAATAATCCGCAAGGAATTGACCGTCTAGATTTTATCGACAGCCAATTTACTAGACAGTTCCCTCTAGATATTATCCTTTGGAGGCCGTGTCACGTTCCCACTCGACCGGGTGCTATGTGTCCTACATAGAGCTGCAGATCGTGGGTGGGAAAGTGACGAAACGTTTGTTGCCTATAGGTTGATATACCTAGGAAACTGTCTAGTAAATTGGCTGTCGATATTTACTATTTAACTAGACAGCTTCCTAGGTATATCAACTGTACTATCTAGAGTCTAGATTCCAGACAGCCAATCTCTCATGTTACAGTTAAGAGGCAGTAAAACTAGCGGGCTGCCATGATATTATGTTCAATGAATATTATATTCACTGAATAATTCGTTACCTTTCTGTCTTATTTTTCCGTAACCGCTGTCGGCCCCTGAAGACTTATATCAACCACACCTAACTGTCTCTGAACTGTGATAGAACTGTCCCCAGACATTGAAATGCGAGCTCCTTAACACAAGGTGAGCCCCTTAACGTAAAGGTGTTCAATTAGCTCCCAATTAATGTTGTCAGATGTGTTTAGTGGGTTATGGGTTGCGGAAGGTACCCTCGTAATATCGAGGTAAAAAGAATGATAAAAACCCTTATCACACCTACTCTGACTCAGCATTATGACATATTGTCAAAGCTATTTAAAAAATGTAGTGTGCACGTGCTCGCACTGATTAAGGATCAAGTGTGCACTTTGCACCTTGAACTGACACTTTATAATACGGCGTGGACTAAGATCATGCTCTAAAATATACCGTTTGCGAGCTGATAACTTTACTACCCGATAACTTTCGGTAACTTCATTACTGAAATGTAGTTTCGGTACTTGGATTATGGTTGACACACGTTTGAATATGGTCGGCACATGGTTGAATATGGTCGGCGCATGGTTAAATATTGTCGGTTTCTGACTGTGCTATGACCACAAAAAACGTACTGCACATCGAGTGCTTCATCAAAGCCAATACATCAATATCAACCGAATAAAATAGTTGAGATGGTTGTTGCAGTGCTAAGTGTTTTGGAGCGAGGCTCTAATGTTTCCCTCCCTTGGATTATCTATGAAACTGATATTTCCGTATACTATATTTCCGTATACTATCTATCATAGACACGTGATATTGGACCATAATGGTCCAATATCACGTGTCCTTGGCCCTGTTCCTCGGAATCTCGGAATACCCCTGAAACTTCGATTTCTGTTCAATAGTTGTTGCTATTTTTGACACGACCGCCACAAAAATGTCCTGAACAGTAAAATCAACGTCAATAGTTCCGGGCAAGCTGTTGTGGCCAGGAAATAAACAGCATCATTAGATACTCAGTATATTTCTATATCACTTATTTTACAAGTTTGTACTTGACCAGTGTTAAGCTGCACGGTTCTAACAGTTGTTGCTTTTGATACGACTGCTAAGTGGAAAGTCTTGAACGGTTAAATCACGTACTGGATCCCAGGAAATAAATGCCCGGATACTCAGTATATTTCTAATTCTTTGCAAGTTTCCGCAAGGCACGCGTTAACTGTTAAGCTAAACGATTCTAGCAGTTGTTGTTATTGACAAGGCTGCTAAATATAAAGTCTTGAACAGTCTCTAGACCTGGACCCGGCTAATAAACGTCCGGATGAATATGAAACACTCTGTATCTATATTAATCGTATTACATAATAATATCGTGTAAACTAGCAAACTAGAGTGTTATCTTCTTCCAGCCCAAAGTAAAAATATGTATTGACATTCTTTCAATCTTTTCCATCCTTGATATGAAACACTCAGTAGATATCTATATCACTCGTTTAACATAATACTTATAATAATACCTGACACGTGTAGCCAGTGCATGTTTCCACATGCCACTCGTAAATTCACTCAACTCACCTACTTGCCAATATATGCTTTTAACTGCATAAACAGTAAAATCAAGTAGTAGATGAAATTTTAAATAGTACCTGAACGAGAATTCTGGTCGCTTCTTCATATCTCCTTTCACTGTCATCACCTCTGGTGGATTGAATGCCTGATGAAATGCCGTCAAACTGTAATTGCATTTCTGAGGCCTAGCCTGTCATTGACCTGTCATTTCTATCAGGTTTCTAAGAAAAACAATTATAGCGATTTGTCTCTGTTGGCTGTTTCATTTCCAACTCCAGCTACACATGATCCATTATTTAAATGAGAATAGAATATCTAGTCTAGTCTAGGAAACCTGTCGAAAGATAGCCCCACCATAAAATTAATCTTGAGAAAATGCAATGTAAATCAATTTTCTGTAACCTAAAATTTTTCAGTGACTGAGACGGCGCCTCCTCTACCAGATCAAAATGGTAAGAATTACCTTTATATCATTATATTTACAAATTTTTTCCGATCGATTTTAATTAATCTCATAAAACTGTCTACAAGAACTGGTGTTACAAACAGCTGCCGCCTATAAATAATTATACGAAAGACGTTTATGATTATAATTATAATTGTTATATACCCATTACCGAATCGTGTGCGTAGTCAGAGTGTATGTAAGGCAGGAAAATGGAATGCACCTCTTCCCCGCCAGACAAAAATCTTGAGAAATCTTATCAGAAATTCATTGACATTATTGCATGAAATATGCTATCGTTCATATTAGGGCATAAATCACTGCATAACTCTGCATACTTCACATACATTTGTAATTGTAATAGGATGAAGTTTTTGCTCTAAATCCCAGTGGTATAATTATTTCCGTTCATTCTCCGTTAAAAATAGATAGATTCAATAAAACTTCAGAATGCTCGGTGAAGATAATTTAGTTTGAAAGTACTAAAAGAATTTCGCTTAATTAGTTATCTATAATTACTGATTCGTTATCTATTTTCGATCACTTCCTCATGAAACAGACGGAAGCTGTTGAAATATGTATAAGTATTCATGATATAAAATAATATGTTCCTAACCAAATACTAACGATATCTCTTGTTAATAAATTTCATTGTCTACTCAGAATTAATTGCTTCATTACGGATTTTTCAACTATCCCCTCGTTATTAAGGAATGGTATTTCAAACCTTTGTGTAACTCTACTTATCAAACTCAGATAATTTATGCCCGGTCAGTTATATCGAGTAGATTAGAGCTTGCGATACAAATTCCGTCATAGTCTAATTCAAAATCTCAGCGCACCGGAAGTAATCCTGAGTTCCAAAAAAAAAACACAAATTAAACTAATCTTATCGTGGTATTTCAGTTTTCCTTGATTTCAAATTCCTGTCCAGTGTCTGTAGGTTACATGTTGACGTAGACCACTGAACTTTTCAGCACTGACTCCCGACAAATAACACGGACAATTAAAATACATAACGGTATCAAATAATCGCATTCAGGTGGTCATATAATATAAGGAACTTAATAACGTAATATGAATTATGTTACTTAAGAACCTTTTTGAAATTGACGCTATCAAGTTTAGCAGAAGCACATTCAGATTGCTGGCTATCATATTTCAATATATAAATAAGGAAAATTTGTATCGATGGATTTGTGGCTTGCATATATAGATATACGATAGTGAAAGAGAGAAAAATATATGACCCTAGATTCTAGAAGAGAATTCATTGGTAGGATAAAAGGTGCTTTTAACTTTTGAACTTGAAACGCTCTTGTACTTGAATAAGTGCTTGGAATGTAATAATTCGTTTAAGTCGATGAATTCACGCCTGAAAAATGCGTTTATCTGCAATGAAGGAATAATTCATTAATATTGATGATCCTGTAATTTTGCACAACATGATTTTTACTATACCATGAAGATAAATAGATAAACTTATTTAATAAGACATGATGGCGAACTAGATCACTCCTGTTGACGAAGCCGGAAGCTTCCAGACCGCAATTTGCACCAACATTTCGGGCGCCCTACAATTGCCATGTTCGTTTTACCTGCCGACGAAAGGAAATTACAGTGCACTCTGGGCATTTTTATTCCTCTTATTTTTACAAAAAATTGCTGTTATTCACGGTGATTTATTGGATGATTTCTAAGCCAGACTGTGCGTGTTGTGTGTTCGATTTATTGAACGAAATCTTGGTATATTCGATTAAAATGTTTCTAGTGAACAATGATTTGGGAACTTTCGTGAGAAACAATGCAAAGTATTCAATTAAAACAGCATTCCTGCAAGACTGATGATCCAACCACTCTCTAAAAGATCAAGTTTACACAAACTATATTTGCCGGAAACAGTCTGCTTCAGTTTAGCAACAGACTTCTTTCCGTTTTTCCGCCCCTGAATTATTTATCAGATGTGTAAGATGGTAAGTTAGTAGGTAAGGGTAAAGGTGGTCGCAAGTTTTTCTGAACTTCTTCAGAAGGTTTTAACATCTCACCACAACCAGTGTAGTGTAGTGGCTAACATAGCGGCTTTATAGCCGACTATTGTGTTGCACAGATCCTGAGATCAGGTTTATAATTACATAAACTTGGTGAACGCTGAAGACTCCACGTTTTTAAATTGAATTTTTACCCGGTCTCATGTCCGCTAGCACAGCCAAGTCCAGCTTGTTTGAAACTCAGCACCAGGAGAGCCAGGTTACTCACATGTTCACACCAAAGAGACCGGAGCTGGCGGGACAAGTGGCTGATTAGAGAACATAGATTAATGATCTGTTTAGGAGAAGCTTTCAGATTTGAGCTGCACATACGATGCGCACAGAAGGGTCCTCTTTGTTTACCAAAGATCTCCAGCTCAATCATTTAGTTATTAGTTTTAATATTAAAGTCTCCAAACTTAACCTCCAGTACATGATAGTCATGCTCTAAAGTCGTCAATCCACGAGTCTGTGGGTCAACTGCAGTTACACTTCATGCCAAGGAAGCCTCTCCCCATCAATAATCATGTGTGGTGTCTAAGCTTTGTTGGGTGAAATCGTGCGGGAGTGACGCTGAACATGGTTTCCTACAGATAGGAGAGTCCACAGTTGGAGGTCTTCACAGAGCGAGTAGTAGGAAGGTGAGAGGGGAGTGCAGAGTTTTGTGGGTGTGCAGACGTAGTGTGGGGTGGTGGTGCACAGTGCAGACGTTAGGGGTGAGGGTAGGAGATCTTGCAGGGCTTAGTGCAGAGTGAGAGAGTCAGGGCTTCTGGGGAGATTGGTACGTGATGTAGCGACGACGAGACTCGTTTTATTCTAGTTTATTTAGAGAGTGCTGGGTGATGCGGGGGATAGTATGTGGATATGTGATGCGGTGTATTTCATTCTGGGAATATTATCAAGATCAAACACGGGGAAATATGTAACAGCTGAGGGTTTATCTCGGTGTAATATCTTGTAGATAGATATACGATGATAGTCATTACGGCTAGTTTGAAGTGTGAATATAAAACTGAGGTTAGGCTCATAGATTGCATAATGAGCGATTATTTCTCGTGTTGCAATTCGTCAGAAAAGCTCGAATTCCCTTTTCAAAAGTCGGCCTTGTCAAACATTCCGTAAGGGTCTGCCCACACTACGCCTGTTGGTGACGGGCCACATGGCCCGATTCTAGGCCCCCCACCTGAACACACTGTGCCACTTGGCGTGAGTAGTCACGCCATGTGGCCTGTCTATCTAAACACACTACGCCTGTTGGCGTTAAAACATGTTCCAGGCACGTCACCTGCGCGACGTGCGAACGCCTGTACAGCACTTACATCAAGTAAGTTGCACCTGACTACTCACGCCAAGTGGCACAGTGTGTGCCCAGGGTCTGCCCACACTACGCCTGTTGGCGACGGGCCACTTGGCGTGGGTCAAAAGTCCCAGTGTGTCCAGAAGCCCCGCCACAAGTCACCGGAGTCACGAGGCACGTAGTGTGTTTACTGTTTAGAGCTCCCGCCAGTTGGCGTGGAAAGTCGAAACTCTCGAGGAATAGAGGCACGGATTTTTAAAATCCGTGCCTTGCTAAATCCACACCAAGTAGCACCGTGTGTTTAGAGGACGGGCCACTTGGCGTGCATATTTGTGACGTCATCGTCCTGTCAGCCAATCAAAATGGTGGGCCACATGGCCCGAGTCTAAGCCCGCCTAAACTAAAACACACTGTGCCACTTGGCGTGAGTAGTCACGCCATATGGCCCGTCTATCTAAACACACTACGCCTGTTGGCGTGAAAACATGTTCCAGGCACGTCACTATCCTGTGTTTAGATAGACGGGCAACATGGCGTGACTACTCACGCCAAGTGGCACAGTGTGTTCAGGTGGCGGGCCTAGAACCGGGCCATGTGGCCCGTCGCCAACAGGCGCGGCGTAGTGTGGGCAGACCCTTATATATAGAACAAATGAATCAAAGTTCAAATGGCAAGTTCAACTTCAAGCTGTTTTATACTATAGCAATTAAACTATGCTAATATTATATATGAGTATTGCTGAAAGCACAGTGTAAGGCCTACACGGACCGTTTTAAACTATGCTAATATTATATATATTATATACACTTACAGATTACAGACCGAGTCTGTTAGTCTGTACTTGAGGATACCTTGACAATTAAGCCTGATCTAATTTAATTGTTGACGGATCAGATTCGTTCCTCAGAATTAATAAACGACAAAAATTATATTTGGCGCGAAAAGTCACATACCACGAATCGTATGAAAATTGTACAACTAGGGTTTGAATAGAGTTTGAAACCATCATTAAACTTAGCACTCGTCCAGTTAGCAATTGCTCTATCTCTACTCTCTCTACCCTGTTTATATTTGACGGCTCCAATACGCTCTTATTCTGACATTGACACATTTTTGTAATTCTCTCGTATGTTTTTCAATTTCCCCATTTTTCTGGTACACGCCACACAGCTGGCTGGCCTGATCGGGTGTATTGTAAACGGTACCAGCGGAATTTCAAACCAGTAAAACGACATGTTATTCCCCTATCTTATTGAATAACCGAGTTATTTTTTCGTTCTCACAATTGACTGAAGTGCTGAAGTCCTGGTTCAGTCAGAAATATTTCTAGCTTTAATGATATCAATTTTCCGAGAATACCCCAAACGAACAAAAACCCCGCCGAATACTTATGACTTAGGAGTCTTTCACATATTACGTAATCAACCGATAGGGGGAGGGGGTTTCCGAATAATTACGCTAGTGTAATTTTGACACAATAGCTATGTGTAAAACTGATTACGGAGAGCCAGGGGGGGATAAAAATGGTCAAGTGATTACTTAATATGTGAACGACCCCTTAGTTTCTCATTTATATCTTATCTGATAAAAGGGATGACATGGTACAGACTTGATACACCAGGCAACCTGATTGGTGACGAGACAAAATCGAAAGATTCGGTCTTTAATAATAAAAATCATCTTTTTGTCGCTAGATCTGTCGTATGAGTATAAAAAGTGCCCTGAAAAGTAAAAATAGATCTTTCCAACGATAACAACATAGCCCGGTACTTTCTCTTCTACGCACTCATTAAAGTAAAAGTTGACCTATCATAACCTGATTAATGATAACCTGGTGAGTGATGATAATGATCACATTCACTATACTGCCGTTTTCTGACAAAAGTGCTTAAGTAACATTTTGGAAATTTCGGGTTTTTTGGTCTAACTTTTGTTTTTGGGTCCAGAACTATCCCTGAGGACCATTCGATACATTCGCCGACCCCCCAAAACCCCCTTTTTGGAACCCCCTAAAATGCAAAAAATGGTCATTTTTCTGAGAAAAGTGCTTAAGTAACATTTTGGAAAACGGGTGCCGTTTATTTCAAAAATGGTGCCATTTCGGGAACTGAAAACGGTGGCATTGTTTTCTACGTCCAAAACTGGCCTAGTGACGGCAATTTGGTGATCGTGGGTCTTTTGGCCTGGGAAAAAACAATTTATGTCACTTAAGCACTTTTGTGAAAACGGGCTCGTTTTCTCACAAAAGTGCTTAAGTGCCATTATACGTTTAATTAAATGTTGATTCTGCCAACTGAAACTATATAATCAGTACTAACAAATCTAAATTTTCACGGCGGATCGATTGGTGATGGTCATAAACTTCAGAAACGCTAGCTTCGCCGTCAAAATTGCCGATTTGTCAAAGCAGAACGTTTCAAAATATACGTCATAATTTGCTCTAAAATTTTTTATTCTCTTATAAGTTGAGACTGGCGGGATTATCGACAGGCAAGGGAACATTACCAAAGAGATAGAAGCGATTTGCTTCACTGCTCCTTCTCTTTTGATATGGAGAAAGTTCTTTTACTACCACACATGCCGGAGTACAAGGAGGCGATTTTTTTAAGACGCCTTGTCACATTTAACGAGACCTTCGCGAGGCTGGGGTCAGACGGAGCTCCTTTAGCGATTCTTTGGAATGAGTCAATCGCAGGAAGGAAAGATGAGAATGTGTCCTCGACTTGGATAAGGGCAATAAAACATTTTGCCAGTTGGCAAGATTGGTGGTAGCAGATTTGGGCAGACAATTATTCTGCTCAAAACAAGTGTTGGACTTTATTTACTGCCCTATGTTCAATTATCAACAGCCCAGATGTTGACCTGGACAAGATAACGGTCAAGTATCTAGAGCCAGTGCACACCTTTATGAGTGCAGACTCATTCCACCATAAAGTAGAGTTGTCCATTAAACAATCAGGTCAACTTCATGATTATTTAAGGACTTTGTTCAGGCAGTTGAACAGGTGGGTACTGCGATAAGCATGAACTGCACAGACTTTGAAACGTGGCCAAGGTCCTACGGAACAAGCAACTAAAAAACTAAAGATGTTAAAGTTGTAAGTTTCCAGCGTGGGTTTGTAGAAATGGAATGGAAAACAAATCATGACGAGGTTTCCCTTCATTTCACTCCATTTCTCAGACAAAAAGACGAGAGACTCATTTCCATAGGTTGAAAAATAGCTTTCGCCCAGGAAGAGCCCCGGGGGATAGCTACTCCCAAAAAACAAGACATTATATACGTAAACTGTGCAGGCTTATGGCCCCGAGTAGTAGGGTATTCTGGATGAACTTGCCTGATTGTACAGATATAACAGATCTTAATCGAGTGTTTGACTAAAAATCATCTATTTCTTGTATTATTTACCATTTATTTATGTACAACAATTATGTTACATTTTTATACGCTTGTTTTTCTTTGCCTCGCGTTACGATATCAATAATTCGCAAATCATTGGTCTTTATGAAGAAAGCCTCATCTGAGTTCTTAATTTAATTTCTAAAGAAAGAAAATTATTTATTATTATCCCGTACTTTCACCAATCAACTCTTCGTTGAAATGCTGGTAGAATTCCGACTATTTTTTAATCCGCTGGGGAGAAGGGAGTGTTTTCGTGTTCTTAAACCACCACCAATCAATTTGTCGTAAAATTCTAGGTCAGAATGATCGCAGATAAAGTTCCCACTAATGTGGCTGTACTTAAGCACTTTTCTCAGAAAACGAAATGTTTAAATTTTCTATTTCAGCGTGTCCCCTATTTACAACTAATGTTTCATCACAACAGTTTTAGGCTAATTTTTCGTTTTACTTTCGATGACCAATGGTTTGAACGGGTCATTTTCATCAGAACATGGAGCTTTTGCTGATGTGGCTGTACTTAAGCACTTTTCTCAGAAAACGAATTTTCAAATTTTCTATTTCAGCGTGTCCCCTATTTACAACCAATGTTTCATCACAACAGTTTTAGGCTAATTTTTTGTTTTACTTTCGATGACCAATGGTTTGAACGGGTCATTTTCATCAGAACATGTAGTATTTGCCGATGTGACTGTACTTAAGCACTTTTCTAAGAAATTCAAACTATAATTTGTGATTTTGAGGCACTTTCCGAGAAGTTAGGATGATGAAACCTTGTCAGAAGTCTCAAAAGTCGACAAAGTACCTTAGAAACATAGTGGGTGCAGTTTAAATTGGACAGTAGCTAGCCCAGAGCAATTACGGAATTGAAATCTTTAACCTCAATTTGCACAAAATGAACCTTGTGTTACTTAAGCACTTTTGTCAGAAAACGGCAGTATACAGCAGACGAACCGCAAGCGAAGAACGGAAGATATCAATCGCAACCTCCAATATAATACCAATCATCTAAATGTAAATTGTAAAACAAAGATGATATCAAAGGAAATCATGATATTGCTATGTGTACTGAATAGGCATTGTTTTTTATTTAGTATGCGAAGGAGGTTTCATTTGACAGTTCATTTCATCCACTTGACAAGTTATTGTGAAAAAGTTTCAGAAATGGTACTCGACCTACCTGGGTTCCAAGCGACAGTGTCTGCATTCTTCAAATATACACATCTGATAATCTGATGTGAATAAACAGAGTTACAATATGTTCTAAAGTCTACATAGTAGCAATCTAGAGTGAACTGTCGTATATTTAGTTATTCATGAGCCATATTTTTCATTAGTTGATTAAATTGTTGATCCTCTTCTTGATTGTAGATGACTAAGAAGTGGCTATTTCTCAACCATCCCTTAGTCATCGAGTAAAGATGAGAAACAACAATAAAATTAACAGTTTCAATTTTTGTTAAAAACGTTCTTAAGTTACAGTTATTTAAGGTTACAAATTATATCCCAAATAATATTAACAGATCATAAATGCTCCTCAAAATAACCTTTATCAACTTTACTAATAATCTTCACCAAATACGTCTAATAACGCCCTTTTAATTCTTAAAAATCCCTTTAAATTCTCAAAATAATTGCTATCAAATTCCACGAACTTTAGTCGAGAATTCGAAAAAACATTTTTATAAAAATTTTCTTTAGGATGCTCGACTAATGTTCGCTTTTAAGCCTCACGAGACTCCGTAAGGATAACTGCGGTAATAATTGAAAATACCCCGACAAATGCAGTCTTATAATAATTGCAGACAATCACGTACATGGCTGTTTAGCAATTTCTGGTTGTTCTGGTGTCGGAAGAGGGGTGGTATTCCTGTCTACTTGATCTCCTTATATGGGCATCACGTGTGCAACATAACTTACTGTCTGTTCTTAATCATTAAATCGTTCCAGGAAACGGCCACGAAGAAGAAGTACAGTCCCAGTGGAGTAGATGGGGACCTTGCTCGGTGTCATGTGGAGTGGGAATTCGAACTAGAGTCATGTGAGTAACTGTAATCAGTAATCATCACTGCTATTTCACTGGTGTAATCTCAGTCACAGACTGTATTCACTGCTGGCAACCATCCCACTGACTTAGACAGACTCTTATCACTCTGGCTGCTGCCCTAGACCGACTTAAATTATTGAAATAAGAGCTTTACAGCAGTTGACGGCATAAATGTATTGAACCCAACCATACCTTTTTGTCGTTGTGGTGACAACTGGTGACGGCCAAGTTAATAGTTAATAGTTAATCCCAGTACCTGGAACCTTGGGGTGGTAGTCAGCTTCTTGACGTGATGGAACCTTACTTACTGCGGCATTAAACCTCAGTAACCGCCACTCTAATTACTATTACTAGCCAACTTGACATTCAGACAATGTTACTATAAGGATGGATCTGGTCCAAATTTTAAATTACAGATTTGACTATTATATGACGCACTTCTTCACCACCAAATAATGGTATTTTAATGAAAAGCTCGCTGTTCATTGCCACGTTGAGGGTAAAGTACAGGTGACAACCTGCTCCCTCTAGATTACAGGATGACGTATTGGGGCACGTGTCAAGGTGGAGACAGTTTAATGTTTATCTGTTATATAGTGGCCTGTAACAAGGGGCCTGTAACAAGGGACCTGTAACAAGGGACCTGTAACAAGGGGCCTGTAACAAGGGGCCTGTAACAAGGGGCCTGTAACAAGGGACCTGTAACAAGGGACCTGTAACAAGGGACCTGTAACAAGGGACCTGTAACAAGGGACCTGTAACAAGGGACCTGTAACCAGGGACCTGTAACAAGGGACCTGTAACCAGGGACCTGTAACAAGGGACCTGTAACAAGGGACCTGTAACAAGGGGCCTGTAACAAGGGGCCTGTAACAAGGGACCTGTAACAAGGGACCTGTAACAAGGGACCTGTAACAAGGGACCTGTAACAAGGGGCCTGTAACAAGGAGCCTGTAACAAGGGACCTGTAACAAGGGGCCTGGAACAAGGGGCCTGAAACAAGGGACCGTATTAATAATGTAGATACTCTTGGTCGCCTTAAGAATCCGTCCTCTCTTCTCCGCCCATTCAGATGGTAATATTCATGAGTTGGGTTGACCAAGCAATTAGGTCACAGTATTTCCCCTTGACATACCGGTCCACCGGAGTAAGACCATTCCGTCTCAGATATCACATTAGTTACGCCACTTACAGGGACAGACCCCGTTTTGCTTCACTCAACCTTTGGAATGTAAATATTTTCAACCTACAGTGTCTTCCGAAAAACGGACATTTCCTGTTTCCAAATACCAGACATAAAAACTGACCCTGTCGTACGGAAACGTCTGCCTAAATTTGACATGACCAGTAAAATGTAAACTGACTCCACATGTTTACACTGATAATCACGGATTCCTGGGATTCCTCCCTGCAACCCTTGCACAGACTATACGCCTCGTCATTTAGTACCTATTAGGATTCGGCATTCTGAGGGATCAATACTCTAAATGTAGGTAACTTTTAAAAGTAGCAGCCTTGTGCTAGATGTTAGGGAGTCTGCTTGGGGCACTTCAGGGTATAGCATTTCATTCAAATCGGGTGTTTCATTTGATTTGGGTTTTTAGGGCGCGTGCCTTTTTCTTCGAATCTAAACAAATTATTCCGGCTAAATCTATTTTACAATCAGCATTTATTTGACAAAAGCCGGGCTTATGACTGTAAATGAAACGGGAATTATTTACGAATGACGTTATTTTCAAGACTGTTTTTATATCCGCCCCTGAGAATCTAACCCAAATGAATTTCGAATACATTCATAATGACAAAATTGCAGCAGTTTTATGTAAAAAACTACAAAACTGCTGGAAAAGTTTAAAGCAGAAACTTTGTCTCTAACATATTTCGGACATTTGGTGTAAGTTTTAGTAGACACAATATCGCGTATCAACAAGTCTGACTTTTCAAATAAATACATTTTTAGTCTCCAAAATCAAATTTGACCGGATCTTCTACCTAAAATCTTGACACTTTGTTCAAAAATAGACAGTTATTTGATGCAGTTACTTTAGCTCACCTGTATTATTGTAACCAATCAGAGCGCTACAGTCTTACTCCTGACATAAACCGACCAATCAACGTACCTTACTTTTACTCCTCAATAACTTAATAGAACCTACCCATCAAAGCTGTAATTACAAAAAGTAACCCTCGTGATAACACTCCCTCCTTCCCAGGTTACCATGCATTGATGGGGACGAATGTGAGCGACAGGAGCAACCTTGTATCAAGAAATCTTCTTGTTCCGACAAAAATGGGTGAGTTATTTTTAACTTGATAATTTGGGGTGCTGCATCACCTTTCATTCTTTAAAACACCATTAAACTTAATTGTTAAACTCTCCGCTGACAAGCAAGATTCTTTTCTTGATAATATATGGAATTGAATACGGTAGAATTTCCCAGAGAATTTTCCAAAAAATTTGCCAAAGTATGCGATAGAGGGCAATAGGGGCATGTATGCTGTTTTAACGGTTAAAGCCCCTTTAAAACCATGTTGTAAAATACTTCAGAAGAAAATATGTTTCAAGTTGAGTTGTAAAAGAATGTTAATATAAATTACGAGCTGTCTCGTTAATGCTGGGGTAAATATTATTGAGTAAATATGAAATATTATTTTTATTTAAAAACAAATTGAACTGCACTGGTAAATATTATTTTTATCTTATTTAACAGTTTTGAAATTGAACTGTCACGTATAGTACTGTCATGTATAGTACTGTCATGTATAGTACTGTCATGCATAGTACTGTCATGGAAGTCGTCATCGTACTGTCATGGAAGTCGGAACATATGACAAACTTTAAGTTTCATGCTATGAAGGGAATATTTAGGTTATACCTACAAAATAGTATTGAATAAATGTTACAGTAAAAATTAACTGATAGATTTAATAACTAGAACGTTATTTTTATTTAACAAACTAGGCACTGTCACATGCCTTATTATTTAAAAAAAGTTGTCAACAAGGGACAGTATAAACAGCGCCCATAATCTTCCACTATAAACTATGTAATACTTAAGGTCAAAACTTCATCTACTTAGTAAATACTATATTTATTTAACAGTTTAGAGTTTAAACTGCATTGCCATGTACAGGGCAAACTATAAGTTTCGTACTATGTAAAATATGTTAATATAACATTGAAAATCGAACGATAACTTAGTATTTAATAGTTATATAAACGTTATAATACGACAAGGGGACACTAAAAGTTTATTTACTGAATTCCATAATCTTAGTCTGTCTCTACTCAGTATTCATTGTATTAAAACATAATCAACTCTCTGAGCAGTCATGAATGACGGCGTAGATTCCATAAATTCTGTAAATCATTCAATAAGCGATCATCACTATGTTATGAGATACCTTTACAATGTTAAAGTTATAAGTTAACCCTATAACAAATCAATATCCTTAACTGTTTAACAGTCTGTTTAACTGAATAGCATAATATTATTTAATATATTAATCATAATGATTACGTCCATATCTACCATCTGCATAATATGTCTAGCAGTATATTACGAACTTTACGACACAGTCGGCAACTACTGACCGATCAATATATTACAAAATATGTAACAAACAATTATGCCTTAAATCGTTATTGCACTTTACATTTTAACATTTTACCGACATCATATCGGACTCTCAATAATGCGGGTGCGATTGTATTCCACATCATTCCTTAATAAAATCACGATTCAACAAATAATTGAGTTTATCTACCAGCTTTATCAGGGCACCAGAATCTCCACAAAGTCGTCCAGAACCGTCCCAGGACAATCCTGTGATAAATAGATTAAATAATTGAGTTATTGGAAGGGTTAACCCGACCTGAATCCCACCCTTCGTCCTGGACCTGTTTTCATGAAATCCAAGAATTCATCCGACAAAAGTACATCTAATCTGATTCGAGTGAACGAATAGTAAAGAGGTTTTATTTCAAAGTGCATGACACGACATGATCCAATTACTGTCCTTCTAATAATATGATACATTTGACAAATTTGGAAATTCTTCTGCATCTCCTGATCAGTTCACTCTTACATCACCCCCTTGCACCGTCGTCTGATTTCAGTGTTTTTTGAGTTACTGTCAAGAGCTGAACAGTTACCGGGACTGTGAAGTCATTACTGTCATAAGTGAACCCAGTCAGACAGATTATTTCCGTATTTTAGGACATTACGGAGTTCAGTTCTACTAGGTCATCACTCATCAAGATACTTGGCGGTTAGTCTCCTCTACCTCACCACTCCTCTCCATTTTCCTCTCCATTTTACTCACTATTCAACATGATTGTGTTGCTCGCTCTGCTGAACATCGTTACTCGCACTCTGTCTCAGCAGCCAAGGTAATTTGTATTATTCTTCTTTCGATTATGGTTTTTCCAGAGGTGGTGAATTTTCAGATCGTTTTTTATTTGTAGCTGGTAAAGTACAAAATTGAAATAATTTGCATTGCCTCTGTGCATGTAGCAGTATCCGCCAAACTTTACCTTCCAGTTCCCACGTGTAAGTCTGGCAATGTACCCTACTAGGCCACTAGACCACGTATGTAGTCTGCCCTGCTAGGCCACTAGACCACGTATGTAGTCTGCCCTGCGAGGCCACTAGACCACGTATGTAGTCTGCCCTACTAGGCCACTAGACCACGTATGTAGTCTGCCCTACTAGGCCACTAGACCACGTATGTAGTCTGCCCTACTAGGCCACTAGACCACGTATGTAGTCTGCCCTGCTAGGCCACTAGACCACGTATGTAGTCTGCCCTGCTAGGCCACTAGACCACGTATGTAGTCTGCCCTGCTAGGCCACTAGACCACGTATGTAGTCTGCCCTGCTAGGCCACTAGACCACGTATGTAGTCTGCCCTGCTAGGCCACTAGACCACGTATGTAGTCTGCCCTACTAGGCCACTAGACCACGTATGTAGTCTGCCCTACTAGGCCACTAGACCACGTATGTAGTCTGCCCTGCTAGGCCACTAGACCACGTATGTAGTCTGCCCTGCTAGGCCACTAGACCACGTATGTAGTCTGCCCTGCTAGGCCACTAGACCACGTATGTAGTCTGCCCTGCTAGGCCACTAGACCACGTATGTAGTCTGCCCTGCTACGCCACTAGACCACGTATGTAGTCTGCCCTACTAGGTCACTAGACCACGTATGTAGTCTGCCCTGCTAGGCCACTCGGCCAGGCTCCCATTGTCCACTAGAATACACAAATTTTGGTTTGATTCAGGTTTCGTCTGCTTTGGACTAAGTTGATTTGGCAACAATTTGTCACACCCCCGCCTTACCCTTTTCTGTTGATAAAATTGTAAAAATATTGCAAAAATTCTAATTTCCGGTGGCCGGGGTTCAGTCGTTTCCTATCTTTCCACTCATATAATTGTTTTACGATATCTCAACTGAGATAGCTCAGTCTGCAGATTTTATCAGCAGAGATCAGCAATCTGTTAGAAATAGTCAGATTCCATCTAGAGTTGATCTGAAAAGGACACCGTCGTATCATTAGCTAAACTTCTGGCCTGAAGATAAATCAAGAACAATCGTTCTAACTTTGCTGTAACCCTACCCTTCGAGACACCTATCTTCATTTTTAAGACACGAAGTCCGGATTTTCTAGACCAATCCACGCTATTTCACGCCTCTTTGTGAATTTAACACAAGTTTCGGTCTGATCTCGATCTTAATTATTGTTGTAAATAACTGATTAAAAGTGATCTGATAACTGATTGACAGATAACGATCGGTGATGATCGAGCCATGAATAAGTGTTACAACTTTAATTAGATAATCTCTCTTCGTGACTGTAACTCCCTGGTTCGATCATTCTCAATTCTCTGATAAACCTAATGTATTACATCGTGCAGCTGTCTCGATATTATGTGTGAGAGTACAGTCTAAAGTATGATTGAAGCTTTCCGCCGTACCCCACATCAGTGGCCACGTCTGCGGCAAACTTGACCAACAAACTTACCAAATCTGCAAGTTTTGCTGATCTGTTAGAACTGCAGACAGGAGGCGACACTAGGCTGCCTTCGTGAGGGGTCTCCTTATTCCTTGTTGCCCCCTCTAGCTCTGTTTCACGTCACACAGATTTACTGATAGAGTGATAGGAGGGTGGGACCTAAGGGTGGAAGCTTGTTATCAGGATATTTTATGTGCGGTTATTTTATTATTGATTACAGATTGCATATTATCGTGACTGTTTGTTAATTCATGTCAACTTGACACATAAAATAATAAAATATTTGGGCGTGTGCCGTTGCGGGAGTACTTGCGGGAGTACTTGAAGATATTTAGGTGACTTATTATTAGTTTAACGGGCGGGATTCGTTTTAATATCACAATGTTTCCTAAAATATGTTAGAGCAGATAAAGTTTAATATATAATTATAAATAATAATTCCTAAACAAGGTGACTCCTCTACCCTCTACCCTCTTATCTGTCTGTATAGAGAGTTGTAACTATAAGACAAGGAATGCGGGCTCTTAATATAGCTACATCACGTAGTGCTCATGGCAACTGATCTCCATCGCACGTGCATATCCTGATAAAAGTTCAGTCCGTTTTCCTGGTAGTTGAGCGGAGAAGGGCCAGGGGGAGGGTTACGGCGGTTAAGTACAAAGTTTCATGGATACTTCGCTCTACTTAGTGGACTTCTTAGGGGAAACTACCATTCATGCATTTTTTTGAGGAATGGCTGAAGCCTTTCAGATTTCATCACATTTTTCAGAAACCTGTACTACCCCTTTTTCGAAATCCCAACGGTGGTGTAATATTTGCAATTTCCCTCCATTTTTTAGCTGATCATCCTCTTTTTGAAGGGCTTCTCCAGATCGTATAATGTCAGAACTGACATATGAAGTAAATGGACATGTACGAGATAATAATTTGGATCGCATAGTTAAGATAATATGTGGAACCACCACTAACCAGTAATTTATCGGTTGAATGGCATCGGCTCAACTGGCTCTGATAAATTAAGAGGGGGGGGGGGGGGTCGTCATGAAAATTTTTTGGATATGATCTAAGGATTGTTTAGAAGAGATTGCCCGGGCAAAATTTTGAGATAGGCCTTGAAAAGTTTAAATTCGATTTTGAAAATTTTGGACCTTGAAAAATCGTCAAAAAACCAGGTCCAAGATTTTAACAATCGAATAAAATATAAAATTACTCATAAGCGTTGATCTTTGACCAGCAAAAGCTCGGCTACGAACAATATTTCCGATGGGATCAAAAGCAGCTGATAGATATAACTCCCTTCTATTCGGGAATCACACAGCAGTAAGTAGTAGGAGCATAATATGCTCGCTAACCGGTATTTGAAGATTTCAGAGGAGACCCCGGCCCCCTCCTGTCGGCTGTCTCCTGAAGATGTTCCACATTGTGTGGATGCGGGATCGTTGACCTATGACGTCAGTACAAGGGGGAGATGGGTTGGAAACTGATACTGATGTAATTTGTGGACACAATAGCTATGAAAAAACTTTATGATGGAGGGGGGAGGGGGTCTGGGAAGTTCTTGCTGACGTAATATGTGAACGGTCTCTTAGAACGGTCTCGAATAATTTCTCTGTGCAAAGTGGCCAACCTTTTTACTCATCTCTAACGCTTTTTTGTGAAATTGCGCAAAATATGACGGATTATTAAATCACATGCTGAATGCTCAGCTAAAACTTTAGTTATATATAATTTGCAACTCTAATTTGTTTGCTAGTTAGACAAATGTATGGCTCCTATATGTCTAGGTGTGTTTTATAAAAATGTGCTTAAACAACCGTTCAGTCAGACAAGATAGCAAGATCTTGTAAGATGTTGATGTTTTCCTTGACGCGAATATACTCCGATCAATAAGCCCTATCTAGATTTTAATTATGTAAATTAGGCAGACCCCGCATTATACTTTATAGTCCAATACTCACAACTCTGTGTATTGATAGTTTTAATTGAATAAATTAAAAAGTTCTATTGTGGAAAACATTTATCTCCATTTTTTAAATGATTCCCGTGAAGAGCCATTGTTTACGGTGGTGGAGTGATTTTTATTTTCATTTTCAATTTATCGGTAAAAAAGAGGATGGTGGGATTTAAAAAATATAATTCATGCTCAATTATGCTTGTTCAAGTTACTGTTACACAGTATGTTTAATTTTATTAATGTTAAAACATCGCTTATATTCTATTCTATCTGATGACTGTAATGTGCTCAGCAAATACTTCCTTATCTAGCACTTGAAACATCACAATTTAGAAATATTACTTTCCAAATCATTTCCCCGATTAACTGATTAAGAGTAAGACTATCGCGCCAAAACAGCTTATGTTACAATGGAATTGTGATCTAAACATTTCTTTTTACAGCTACGGAGATTGGACAGAATGGAGCGGATGTGAGAATTGTATTCAGACCCGGGCACGGACCTGCGAACAACCCCACCTGTGTGGCTTCAAGGAGGAATCAGAAACTCGACAATGCTTAGAGTGCGAGCTTGACCCAGGTGAGCAGAGTATAATAGGCTTGTTGTGCGAGCTTGGTCTAGGTTAGCAGTTTGTTAGGGGTAGATTGTTGGGAAGTGTTAGGTTTAATTATAGATTTAGAACATTACAGTGATGTTGTCTGTAAGGGGAATTAGCTGTGGAATTGTGTGGCGAAAAGGTTTTGTTGCAGGGTCTGATAATTATCTTTATCTTGAAAGCGTCTGAATTTCTGGCCAATTTTAGGGATAAAGTGTTAACAAATTATTCCGAAGAAAGCCTCACGTCCGTTTCACTGAGTACCGTCTACCAATTTCTCAATTGTGGTCTAGAATCTTCTAGAGCTTATCCAATACTACAGCCACAAATGGATAATCTTCATTTTCCTTAGTAACTGTTCATCTAACCATGTTTGATATTTACAGCCTTACAGGTCACTGAAATCAAATCAAGTGTGTGGTCATAGAGTCAAATATCAAGTATCATGGTGAATTTTCTGGTTTTTTCCGAAACGACTTCCATCACGTGTGTAAATTTTGCATGTAAATATTATCACCCTGCGTGCTGCTGGTCCTATTTTAACCATCTGTACATTTTCATACATTGCAAATACATCATTATATGTAACGATCACGTGTGTAACGATCATTTAAAGTCACACTTGAGAAATCATGAGTTATTTGACCGGGGGTCCAGAACATTGATACGTGGCTAAAGTTATTATATTTCAATATAACAAATCCATTTTGACACGCTTTATTTAATTAAAAACAAACCTGTCACTGACTCGAACTGTATTTCCTCCGCCCCTCAAAATGTGTGTGTAACTTATCAAACTAAAATCGGATTTTTGTCCAACTTTACCGAATCTAATTTAACATATTTAATTCTGGAAATTAGGGATCTTTTTGATCCCATTACGAAAAGATTGAAAGTCATATTTATCGTATTTATGAAATGTAACAATAATGATTTTGTGCCCTTATAAATCGTTCTCTCGAAACATCTTTAAAGGACTTCTCCCTACCCTGTCAAATAATTTTTCCTGATAACACTTTCCCATCACGAGCATTTCACTTTACTAGAAATAAGGGACACACTCCACACGATGTACTGTAATCCACGAGAATCAGTCCGCCCTCTCCTCCTCTCCTCCTCTCCTCCTCTCCTCCTCACCTGCTCTCTCTCTCTCTCTCTCCCTGGCCTCACACTCACGCGCATATACTCGCACATATTAGCATAAATATTACAAAGGCAAATTAAACACTTGTAAATTCGATTTTTAACCATTTCAGCCGCTCAGTAACTGGGTATATAACTAGGTTAAGCTAATGGTATACACATAGGTCCCACCAGTAAATACATATCCCCGCCGACTAGTTCTTTTACACAGCCAGCCCCCAAACTCCTGCCGCTTTTGCCCCTGGTCTGTTAAAATCAGGTCGGGTTGGGACAGTAGACCCGAATTGTCTAGAAACTCTGTGCTAAATGTTATTAGAAACCGGGTTTTGTTCAGGGAATGAGGTGAAAATTAGATTTAGTATCAATTTACATGCTCCTTCTTTTATTACATTAGTTTTGAAGATTGCTCTTGGGTCGCCTGCAAATGACCTGTCTGGACTCTGGTTCGAACACTCGTGAACCTTAACTCCTGTAATCTGGATCTCAACTAAATACCTTAACTCCTGTAATCTAGATCTCAACTAAATACCTTAACTCCTGTAATCTGGATCTCAACTTAATACCTTAACTCCTGTAATCTGGATCTCAACTAAATACCTTAACTCCTGTAATCTGGATCTCAACTAAATACCTTAACTCCTGTAATCTGGATCTCAACTAAATACCTTAACTCCTTTAATCTAGAATACCAATTGAAGCTTTCCTCTTAAGTACTGTGCGGTATAGGGTCTCACTGCTTGACAAATTCTCAACAGTGGTATCTGATAAAAGGTAGACAAACAGCTTTAAGATAAAAGTTTTTGCCTTCATCTTTTTTAGACTAATTTACTTTAAGCTGCGTCTATTTTTAAGGGAATGCCGTTATCAGTCTGAAAAATCCGACTGGAATTCCACTAAAACCGATGTCTTATGCCTAAAATAGCATCTTTTGGTGATGAGACGCAAAGTGTTTCAAATTAGAAGTTCAGAATTGTCGCCCTTTGAATGTCCCCTGCAAGAAATCTAACACTTTAGATCTACAAATCTCGTTTTATCACACATTATCTAATAAAGATACATGGTCTAATCCTATTCCTTTTCTCAAATGCGTCATTGAAATGTATCTCGATGAGAATTTGACTATAGGGATCGCTTGTAGCTTCACGACATCTATAATTCTGTAATCTATAATTCTGTAATCTACCTATTTTTACACCTATGATTTAATTGAACATCTTGTATAGTTGCTTTGATATAGATGCAAGATAGGCTGGACTTGACGCAAATCAGTGTCGTCAATGGTTACCTTACTTTAGAGTTTCCCACGTTCCAGAGTAACACTTGTGGTTATGTTTGTTGCTAAAAATAGAATAAGATGTCACTGTGATGTATTCAAGCATTAGAACGATTTCAAGACGTCATTGAAGCATCAAATCTGCTTACAAATGATACCCAATTTCTTCGCTGGAGTACCCAGAAACCCTTACTGGATGGGGCCTAACTTTGAAAGTAAAAGAGTTAGAGACTTCCGGTTTTTTGCAACATGTTCGTCTTGTAAAAGTAACGTTTCCCCCCCAGGGGGAACATTTAAAACAACGTAGATTTGGAGTTATCTTCACATCTCCAGGAAAGTGTCATTTTGGTCCGATCAAAAGTTTGCAACTTTAACTTTGCAGATTCCTGTGCTCTCATTGGCTGAATTGTGTCACGTGCTGGCTACTTGAACATTGGAATGCGCCACGCGTGCAAATCATGCTTGTTGTCGCGCGCGAGGTCAAGCCGTCTGTTTAAATTAAACCACCTCTAGTACCACCGTCAGCCAGTAACTTTTGCTGGGTAAACTTAGTTTATATCACCAGTGACCAGACCTTATTATGTTTCCTGTTTACACTGTCATTTTGGAGGTTCTATATCCAATTTTCAAGAATCTCTCAACATTCCAAAAAGTCGAATTAGTGACTCTCAACTATCTCTAATCTGATGCAAATTCTTGCAACAGAAGAACATACTATAAACGAGTTGGCTACAGCAAGTCTGTCATAACAAAACGTCCAGCCAGCCACTTCGTCCGAATTGGACCCTGAAAACCTTCTAAAGTTAACCGGATTTTGGAGGTGTTACCAGTTACGAAGCCATGCTAGATAATATCGGTACAACTTCTGTAAAATGTCATCACCACGTTCAATGCCGGAAAACCTTTGCACCAGCACTGCGTTCTGTGTTCTGAAATCTGCACTAAAATTTCACACGTATTCAGAACTTTGTAGTATATTCAGCATTCAATTATCAAAAGAACCCGCAAAGTTCAAATTACGGTCGGACCATTTCAGTTTTCACACACTGCACAGGACAAATGCAACTCTAATCTTCCATTATTCATTCTATAATTCCTTTGACATTCATCCCTATTATTCCTTTGATATTCACCCCGTTCTTTCCCTCAGATTCAATGACGGAGTGCCAGAAGATGCTACACGAGCACATAAAGTACTCCCGTACCGGCTACCGCGTTGAGTGCACGGACGAGGGTCTGTTCGCGCCGCGCCAGTGCGATAGCGGTGTGGAGAAGTGCTGGTGTGCGGAGCGTTCCACCGGCCGAATAATCTTTGGAACATACCACGCCAACCATATGGTCGGACCTTACAACTGCAAGAAGTGTGAGTACTGGTTTAATTGAAGTAGATATTGAAGCAAGAAGTGTGAGTACTGGTTTAATTGAAGTAGATATTGAAGCAAGAAGTGTGAGTACTGGTTTAATTGAAGTAGATATTGAAGCAAAAAGTGTGAGTACTGGTTTAATTGAAGTAGATATTGAAGCAATAAGTGTGAGTACTGGTTTAATTGAAGTAGATATTGAAGCAAGAAGTGTGAGTACTGGTTTAATTGAAGTAGATAAGTGTGAGTTAGTGGATGTAGATATTGAAGCAAGGTCTGGATTTTAAATACAGTTCAAACTTCAACGGCAAGTTGGTTTGCACGGAAGTTAAACTTCCATTGTAAGATCGAATAAGTTAGTTTTTGAGTAGTTTCTGACAGGTCTGAAGTCTATTTTGGGTGGAGGCGGTCCCTTTATCTCGGAAGAGGGTCTCTCACCTGCCAACAATAAGAAGCCAACACAAACCCTGAGCACGTCTGTTCTAGCGCCGTCGTCACGGTTTTTAACTCAAGTCGCGCCACGCGAACAGCTTTTTTCGTCATACTTTTGCTCAGAGGCCATAGTTAGCTTTCCAAACTGATACGGCATCTCTATCACATTCCAGCGATCCGTATCGAAGCTTCAAGGGAATGAACCTAGAATTCAGCGGACAACGACGATAATAGCTGGCAGTATACGTGACCCATTAAGCTCTCAGCTGTCATCACACATGACTATCACTAAATTACCAGTACCTGCCCATTTGAAGGCCATTACCAGGCCGCATCATGTGTCGTACCTGGTGGCACTGTTGTGTGCTGCTTATGTGGTGAAACCTGATAACTATGTCACCTCGTGAAAGCTACAGTTAAACGAGGAATCTGAGGGGAAACCTGATCGTTAATGTGGCTGCTTATACTGCTTATCAGAGCGGCATGATGATGTGCGTCAACCTGAGAGCAGTTGCAGTAGAATTGTCGTCACTGGGTCGTCACAATAGAGGATTCCAGTGTGGTGGTGGAAATCACGTTACCAATCACAGTTCCTAGAGATTACAGACCTGGGTTCTCCACCACCGCCAGTGTAATCAGTCAGTGTTACCTTATATGGTTGTGTTTAATCAGTAATCAGTACTCATGCAGACTTAATAAGACTCCTTATAACAGTATCACTGTCTGCTCAACAGTCGTAAGACAATCCTGAACTTCGTTTTTTAATCTGGCGACACGGCTTGGATGACAGGGTGATAGGTTTTAGGACTGCTTTCTTGAATGTCGTGGAATATTTGTATGTATACAAATATTCCACGACATTCAGTCTTACACAGTTATACTGTCATTACCAAAATATTATATTAAAGTTCTTATGAGGCGCAGTTAAATCAGAAGAAAATTAATCTCCGATAGTCTAATATGAGAATATTAATTTTCGTGAGATAAAATGCATGAATTCTTGATCTTAGATGTATCCCTTTTAACGTTGCCGCCTTACAGTAACCTTGCCGCCTTTTCGTACTGTAGTCAAGAATCTTTTGGTGTATGTGTGCTTGCGGTCACCATCTCCACTCATAAAAGAATAATCTTGGCTGTCTTTACTTTTGTGGCGTAAGTTTACAATATAATCTATATTATCGAGACAGAGTACCTTTTGCGGTCCACTCGATGTCTAAAATTGTTCGTAACCGGAGAAAAACACAGTATTCCGTTGAAATAACAAATAAAACGATTGAATACTGATGACTGTGTCTATAATTAACAGATAAACCTTTGAAGCATAAGATTTTATTTCCAGACAGTAAGTTTAAGGTTTGATGATCTTTACATTATTTATTGCACGACATAAAACTGCTAACAAAACCCGAGTACCACCCGGAGTCTTCACTCTTAATCACTCTTAATCACTCTTAATAAACATGCAGAGCTGCAAGGAATGAATAACTGTAAGTGTAGAGAGAGAAGTGTGTTTTTATCATCTCTAGTCACGTGATAATGATAACCAAAGTGACTTTCAATGAGTTCACAACAGAACCCACGTTAGACACATTGGTTTTGGAAAAACATAAGTGTTTTGGTGTAAAATTATAATCATATGAGACAGGATCAGAGATCATAAAAACGCACATTCTCCGCCTAGCTGGAAGCCCACTTCTATACTCGAGTTTCATATTTCGATCAATCCGCATAAATTGTGAACTGATTTCATATTTCTTCGAATTGACAAAATTCAAAGCAATGAAACAATTCAACATATCCCATCACCGTGTAAAATGTTGATAAAAGCATTATTCTTTGATGTCTCAAAACTTTGATGTTTTAAAAATTAACGGCTGTGCTCCATTCTAATTGGGTGCTTGATCGCACTTTGAACCGTCTAATGATAGAGCCACGGCCCATGATCTAGATATAACTTCTTTCTTTTGAATGAAAATAACCCGCTACATTGTTTCTTTCCGATAGTAACTCAGTCACTGTTAAGATCATCAACATTTGTTTGAGTTTCCAAAATTCTTGACTTCCAGAAACAAGCCGATAATGGTGAAAATTGTACGTGTCAAACATTTTGGCATTTATACCAGATTTATCAAACAAATGTAGAAAAAATGTCAACGATGTATGATCCCCATCCGACGCCTGTACGCCATTCCTTTGATAGTATAAGGAAAATAGAGATAATAAAATATGATATGCTCACTGATTTGACATAATTATAGACTTGGAATGTTGATAAAAGTGATATATAATAATATCGTAATATTATAGGATATATATGAAAAATCCGGATTGGAATATTATTTATGAGTCGCATAGTTGAAATGTTTTCTTGGGTAAATTTCTATTGAGCTATTGATCCCATTTGATGCGACAAGGAAAAGGCTTTTATCAGGAAAGGCTTTTATCAGGAAAGGAATTATTCAACGTTTTAATGTGACAGCATCGTATTCATGATCTCAAATTTTTTGTTCATAATACTTTCAACACTATTATATAACAAATAATTTGAGATCATGAATACGATGCTGTCACATTGAAACGTTGAATAATTCCTTTCCTGATAAGAACCTTTTCCTTGTCGCATCAAACGGGATCAATAGAAATTTACCCAAGAAAACGTATCTATTTATATAATATATACAAAACATTTCGGTAGATGAAATTAAATTTGATTAAACTTAACAACGAGTCTAACTTAACTACCAGTCCATAGTAACCAATCAACAAAGGAGAAACCCTGCTTAAATCTTAACAATTGTCAAGATTCAAAACATAAAAGATAACTGTTTTCGTCACTCTCGACGTTTATTTGTAGATTGACAAACAGAGTTCTGTTACCGACCAACCCTTGTAATGTAAATTTTGTAATCTAGCAGCTCTTAACTCATCAATACTTTCGAAATTTTGAATCTTTGCTTGGTGCAAAGAGACCACCAAATTTACTGTTAAATCAATATGCCCTTTATTAAGTATGTTCAATTAATTTTAAATTCTAATGTGATATTCGGAGATCTGATAGATATGAAGTATTCAATCTTACGATGACATGGCAGTGAGTTTAATAAATTCAGCATATTCCGTAGAATGTGTAGATATCTTACTATATATAAAGCGAGACGATATATATATATATATCTGTGCCATTTTACTGACACCACGGCATCAACTTTAACGCAACTTTCCGCAAAAACCGTAAAAGATATACAACTGAAATTTTTTTGACTGAGTCAAATGCTTTTATGCTTTTCAAATCAGCATTAAAAAATAAAAAATTGGCCAAGGAATAATTATTTTAGTGCCCAAAATTTGGACCCCCAAGTGGTGTCAAAAACGCGAATTAAATAGGTAATAATTATTTTAGTCTCTTGAGTCTTGACACCACTTTAGAGTAATACGGGTTCCTGCTCATTTTACTTCTTCTTCCAACGTCCTGTCATCCTCTACAGCACCTTCCAGCCACATTCTCCCTGATGCCCCTTTCACTGATGAGCATGTAGCAAGCCACGACCATGCTAGCAGTTTGTGGAACAAAAGTGCCAGAGAAGAACCAAATGTAAACACTCCTACTGATGTTGGTTTTGTCCAACGTTGCTAGGTTCACTGAAAATACAGCAAAAGATGCTGCGCCTATAATATCGGAAAACACAAGCATACTTACCAGCTTAAATTCCCTCTTAACCATTCCAGCGACTCTTATTTCACCAGTTTGGTACCAAAACCTTATCCAGGTGGCTAAATAAATTCCGGCCACAATGCAACACACTATGATGAATGGGGCCATGGATACAGCATCATCGATAACTGTTTCTTTCGATAATGGAATAGAGAATCCCTTTCTTCTGTTCATTTGTCCGTGTATGATTGCAGCAGCAAAACAACCAGTGAAAAGAACGCATATTGTGATCACTAAACCCTTTATCAGTTTAGATGATTCGTTAAGGATTGTCCATAAGGGACAGTGGATATTACTGTACTGCATAGCAACTATCACAGTGTCGAAGGATATCAGTGCTACCGAGCTCAGGATGCCTACAATATTCAAGGCTATTTCCCACCATCGGAAACTCATTATTTGGGAGAAATCTCGATCATTGAGAAGAGGGGGGGGGGGGGGTCCAACCCGATGTCCGATATGAGGGTTGATGAGGCCAAAATCGGAATCGGAAAAATCGGAAAAATCGGAAAATTGAGAAATTTACTGAATCAATCTCTAAAAGCTCTCAGAAGTGATATAATTTAACCAGAACCCCTACATATGCTATGTATGCTATATGAAAACGAAACAATTGGACATTCCAATAGTATTTTTTATGTGTATTTCCACTGCAGGGGCTAATGATTATAGAATGAAATAGTCTGTGATTAACATATTACATACATTATAAAATGGGCAGGGGTTTTTATATTTCTTGTTAAATTAACGGCTAAATTAGTAACTTATATTAAATATAAACAATGTGTTATCACGTTCATTAAATTGAAATGCGAGATATAATAGATACTAAGTACTCAATTTTAAGATGGCATGGTGGTGAGTTGTATCAGTGTTATATCTTTAAATATTGGTTAATTTAGTAGCTAACATCAAATCTATTCATTACGGTATTATAAGAACCTATCCTGAATCTATTACGGGTACTATTTATATTCTCTGATAAGTGAGGGCAACCCTGGAGTTTAAACAAACCGTTACCGCTCCATCACGCTCTAACAAATCTTTCATGATCAGCACTTTGCCACTTTGTCAGAGTTTTAACAACTCAAAGCATCGACCGAACTTTCTAAGCTAATCCTAGTATGAAAAAATTAATATTTTGTGGCGAATGTTCTGTACTGGGAGACATGGAATATTTAGACTGATAGTTTTAAGTTAAATAAGTTTTAAACTAATTATAGCACTACAAATCTGTCAAATGTATTGAGTATTATGTAATGGGATGGAAGCGTTTTAAACTAGGTGTAGCCAGTCCACACCCTAGCTCCATAATATTTTTTGTTTTGAAACCCCACGGTGGAGGCTGGCGTGTGCCGCAATTTATTAATCAATGGTAATTACATGATAAATGAAATTATAGAAGTCACACTAAAATATATATATATATGAATAATTTGTTTTAATTCTAGATGAAAAGATCTAATATGTGTTGTATAATGGAATCTAATTGTTATCTGAATATAATCGTCGAAACGACTGCTAGAATACCTTGAGATGTTTCCGTTTGCTTAGGCTTTTAACTCAAGAAGAATCTTAATTATACTAGAAAAATGGCATAATATTCGAAAAAAGATGATGATTTCGACGAAGGACATGATTACTTTTATGTTTCCTTTTTTACTCGGGCCTCACCGTTAAGTTAAACTGTTGAAGAAGAATATATCGGAATGTTTTAAAGAAATTATGCGATTACGATCATTAGCATTACTATCAAACAACGTTATCTGCGTTAATGTTGGCAGGGGTGTCTACGACTTTCATGTAAAAACGTCACAGTATGGGGTGCTTTGATGCAATATCTGCAGTAATTGTTAATCAATATAAACCGGTAACATTTCTCGGATTAGTGTTATGAAATATTCTTTAGTATATTATAACACTGAGTAGTGTAATTACGATAGCCAAGATCTGACTTATTTTTGTCGTACGGAGAGCACCTGCCGGGCATTAAAGTAGATATTAGCGGACGTGATTTATAAGATTTATGTCAAAGTTTTACTATTACTTTTTTCGACCGTATTATTGTTGTATGAAATAAACTTCCAGGGAAAGTATATGAGCCTACTGGCTACTTACCGGCGCAACAAGAGTTGACTTGCAGGGGCAAGATCTTACCAAGTAGATTCTCCATATCTCCATATTCTAGTCACTCTGACTACTTGTCGAAATGATATCATCCAACTTCGACCCAGGTCAAAGTTGGAGAGATCGTAAGGGAAGGTAGTTAACTCCCTTACCCTGTACCCAACCCGCACTAAGATCACTGTTGATCTAGCAATAAAAAGCGTACGATTCTCCTGCAGTAACTTACTTGTAGTCTAATGTATGAGTAGCGTAATAGTTCTGACGGCCGTGTGGTGGTTAGAGACCGCTCACCGCTGTCAGAGTAACGAGGTTGTCAAGTATTAACCTCACTGAATCGTGACGGAGTTGTCACAAGATGGTTTGTGATTTTATGAGGACAGCTGAATGGTTATAAAACTGTTGGGTTAAACTTTCATGGCCCAATTTGTTAACCATTCTGTCGGGCCGAACTAATTAAGCTAGAATCTAAAGTTTTACAAGTTATAAAATAACAAAAAAGAATTGAAAAAAATAAGAAACTTTCTCCACCCCTGATTATCCTCTGATTTCAGTGAGTGAAATGCCGCGCTGTGAAGCCCTGGATCATGTCGGAAAGTTGAACGTGGTGGCGAGTGATTACATGCCACAGTGTGATGAGGATGGAAACTTCTTACCCCAACAACAACAGGTCAGTAGTGCTGTAAACCCCCGTTTTACCCCAACAACAACAGGTCAGTAGTGCTGTAAACCCCCGTTTTACCCCAACAACAACAGGTCAGTAGTGCTGTAAACCCCCGTTTTACCCCAACAACAACAGGTCAGTAGTGCTGTAAACTCCCGTTTTACCCAACAACAGGTCAGTTGCGCTGTAAACCCCCGTTTTACCCCAACAACAACAGGTCAGTAGTGCTTTAAACCCCCGTTTTACCCCAACAACAACAGGTCACTGGTCAGTAGTGCTGTAAACCCCCGTTTTGAGTTACACCACAGGAAATTGGGATTTGATTAATTAATTTGCATCAAAGGTGTGTAATGTGTATGATCAATGTAAGGGGATCGAGAAACTCCCGGTTTATCAAAGTTCTGCATAAATCTTCCTGAAGCTATCCACACTACAAAGTACGTTGAGCTGGAAACTTTTTTTCATGTTTTTTCTCCACATTATCCAGATTCCTACCAGAATATTATTACAAGCTTACAAATAAATACTGTAATTGAGCTCGTTATTTTGACAGAGTGGGCCCCATATTTCTGTAGAATACTGAATACAGACAGTTTGAAAGTGGAGTTTGCTAATCGTTTCCTCCCAAAATGATATATTGTGATCACTCTAAATTCGTCGTTGTGGTTTAAATCAAATCAACTATGAAATAAGATAAGTCTCCAAATCACATCTTTAGCATTATAGTAATTTGACCAAAACCCATAATCATAAGTAGAGTAGACCGCTGCCAGTGTCTCTCTTTTCCAAACAAAAGAAAATGATATTAATTTGAATAACCGTCCGCAAATGCAAATTGATACCGATAATGAAATCGGTCGCTCGCTTTTCCCATTCATTCACGGCTTACGAATTGTAATAAAGCTTATTGAATGGGAAAAGCGAGCGACTGATTTCATTCTCGGTATCAATTTGCATTTGCGGACGGTTATTCAAATTAATATCATTTCCTTTTGTTTGGAAAAGAGAGACACATGCAGCGGTCCACTCTACCCATGATTATGGGTTTTGGTCAAATATCATATCTTTTTGATTATAATATCAGGATAATTTACAAAGTCGAAACGTAAACTCATAACTTCATTAATACTAATATTAATAAGGAGGTAATTTCAACGATTTCGAAATTTTATCTTTGAAAACATTTCCTTGTGTTTAGGTGGGTATATAAATAGTATTGTGAATATAAGAGCGACGGTCATGACCGGTCATGACCGGTCATGCTTGCCAGCATTGTGATAAAGAAATATTGTATTTCATTTATAAGATAATTGGGGTAAGGCTATACTATGGTAAATATTGCTTCCGGTTTTCTACGGACTGAATGAAAACCAAAAACCTCAAGGTATTATAGCACTTAAACCGGTTCTGAATGCCAGTAATTCTTTTGAAATGGAGAGGGTAGATATTTTTCATTTCGACAAATTAAGACCTCTTGTTATATAATGGGCCTATTTCTCATTGCTCTGGAATTATCCAGAATTTCATTGTTCTGGAATATCGCAGCTAACGTACTGCAAAAGAATTTCGTCTTTCTTGAATTAAAAGTGTACAAACAGTTACATAGATGACCCAATAAAATGAGATAAAACTGGCATGGAATTTTTGATCGAGACTGGAAGTAGTGACGAATAGACTGAAATAACTGATGTTAAATAATTATTGCTCTAATATGTCACGATATTATAGTGTTCCGATTCACTTACTAATCAACATGTTCAGATTCCATAAACAGGCTTCAAATTGGGTCAATTTATCGACAATTTTCTGCCCTGACAACAATTTATCGACAGTTTCTACCCTCACTTTTAACACGTACAAATATGTAGCCACCTATTTTTCTCACTGACGCCCCCCCCCCCCCCCCCCAGTCCCCACTCTCCAGTCCCCTCCCCGCCCCCCCCCCCCCCCCCTTTCTCAACATCTCACTATTAATGCGCCCCTTTTTCCACTTATTAAATGAATAATTGTTACAGATGGTCGATGATACTGGGATCCAGTGGTGCGTGTATAAAGATGGTCTGGAGATCCCTAAGACCCGCGTTTCTTTCAACGAAGCGATTGCTTGCGACCCAGGTAATTTGTCAAGATTTTGATTTGTAATAATATGATAATATTAGCAGTTTTAAAACTGATTTTGCGGATGTTTAAACTCTCCATCCATACATTTCTTTACCACACGTTTTTTGCTGTTAATATTCGCATGAAAAAAATTTCATTATAATTATTGGAACAAAGTATCCTTTGTAAGCAACATCCATCGCTTGTGAAGTCTCCGGCATTCTCAATCAACTTCCGGTGTTTTCTTTAACAAAGTGAGCTTTTAAAAAGTTTTTAAATGGAATAATTGCTATTTTCAGTAGTTTCCAAGAAGTTTTAAAATACTTCTGTAAATAAATAAGGTGTGTCCATGTCGAAAGATAATAACAAATAACAGTACAGACCGTTTGATAAATGATCACAAAGCACGTTTCAATTACTGGTCACCTCATCGTGTATTGAAAGTTTTTTTTTCTGGATTAATAAAAATGCAGAATTGTTAACAAAAATTGCAGTCTGTCGGTTATTTCTAAATTTTAACAGATAATTATCGCTTATTTATGCCAGAAGAAATTTTGAATTTTAATTAAACGTATGGTTGTCTCTGGAGCGGAGTTCCAAGAACAGTATTAAGTTACTCGGCTGCATGGAATCAGAACTGTTACATTTAATTTTCTCTGATCGACTAAAAGCACTCTAATATTAAATGGAGGGTATGCCGAAAAACAGAAGTATCTCACAGTACATTGTTGAATTCTATCCGAGAGTCTTTAAAACATTCTTTTCTACACGTTAGATTTGATGATAAAACATTAAAGTTAAGTCCGAATGTCAGTCAATGAATCTCGTTACGATCATCGCCTAAATTGGACATGCATTAGATGTACATTAAAAGTTTATTCTAAATTGTACCTCCATGCGCACGCGATCTAAAATATAATATCAACTTTTTCATAAAAAGCATCCACTGAAACAAAATTGCGCGATCGATCGACTTTTGAACCGTCGCGCGCTCAAAATTTCTGGATATATGGACACGTTTATTGAAGTTTGAGGATATTGGTAAAAATTATTGGCCCTATTAAATGGCACGATGAGGTAAAATTTGTCACATTATGAAACTATATAAACCCTCTATGGTTAGGATAATCGTCTCATCCTCTAGATAAACTTTGTCACATAACGATATCTTTATCAGATGATAAGATATCGGTTTAATTCGGCCGGCAGTGAAATGCCATCATTGTCACACTTTAAAAACGTGACAGAGTTAACATGAACCCCTTGCTGTCGTGTTTGACAAAATTTTCGAATTTCCAGTTCATAGGATAGTTCCATATGACAATTATCTACATATTTAGCGACTTTTTTCGTTAAAAGGTACCACCTGGTCAATTCCGTCACACATTTAAGAAATTTATACGAGGGATGTTTATGACACCCTGACAAGGAATGCCGATTAGTTTGGCATTATTTTTCGACCTGAATGTGCTGGGAATTGTTTGAATATCTCATCATTATAAGCAAATAAAAACACATGAGGCACAGATAGGTAAACTTTGTCACATATATTTGTATATTATCTGAACATGTCTGAAACTGAGCAAATATTGACATACCAGCTTAAAGACACTATATTACGTACTAGATCAATCCACACTATTGCTACCATGCACCAATCACATAAATTATCATGAGGCAGTAATTTTTTAACATTGGCACAATTATCTCAACAATTATATGTAAATTTTGTCAGAAAACAAATTAAAACTCTATTAATTGCTCCTTGTTGGCAAAATAACTACAAGTTTATCGACATAGGTATGATGGTAAGCCGTAAGGTAACGTTATATTGTAATCGAGGACCGAGGTATGATTCTTCAAAATAGGGGGCAGGGGCAAGAAATGTTAATTTAGTCACATAAGTTATTGTAAAAGTTAGATACATTTTCTTTCACACCAAAGTGGCCTTATTATATTTTGAATTGATTTATACAGGAAATATAGAAACCCATGCCAATTTTTGTCACATTGAATTTTTACTGTTGGGGCAGGAAAAGTGAATTTTATCACATTTCGGTAACTTAGCAAAATTAACCTCAACATTACCTTATAACCGCTCGATCCGTGCCCTTTAACCAATGTTGTATCATAATTGTTAATCTACTATATTTTAGACTAAGGAATGCTAATTGGTCAGCTATACTTAACAAAGTCACAAAATGTGACATTTTAACTATTATAGTGCCTAACAACATTAGATTTTCTTTCTTAGCAGTGCATATGGGAGTATGGGTCACGTGGCTAATGTTCAGAACTTCTGAATATGCTAGATTAATATATTAATGCTTTTCATACAAAGTTACAACAAACTTCATGTTATGTATCCTGGGTTTGGACATGCTCAATAAATGTAATAGATTTGTAGTGTTTTAATTAGTTTAAAACTAAGCCACTATCGTCGAAAATGCTATTTTTAAAATTTACCAATAAATTCAAATGTCAATGAACGACGAACGTGTCCATATACGTTGCACCGATGAGAACTTGATACTTCTCTTCTAGGGGGCGGTGTGCACACAATTCTTTTAATTCATTAAACGTTCTCCACGAAACACCTTGGTCTAGCCTAAATCTATGTACTTTGTTGAGGGGTGGGAATCAATATTACCCACTCACTGCTCAGAACAAGCAGGAACCAGAGTGAGTAAAATGTTCATTTGCCTCCTATGGTTCGTGACCTCAGGTATTGTTCGCAGTTCGTGATGCTATCACGGTAGAAGTCTAGACTAAAGTGATGTAGAATGAATTATGAAATGATCCATTCATGTAAAAGCTCTTTGCAGTCGGTAATTTGAAGTAGGAACGACAAATGAATTTGTATGAACTATGACCAGACTTCTGCTAGTTTTGTTCCTCATTGCCGAAACTGTCTCAAAAGATCTACAAGACTAATTGCGAGATATAAGTTAAATGAGACGGGCTTTTAATTATGTCTTAGACACACTCTGTTGCTAAATACCTTCCAAACATCATTTGGCTCGAACACGTTCAAACAGACCACCAAACATTATCTCTCTGTAATACGACCCTAATCAACAATATCCCCTTAGAAGAAACAAAGTTGACAAAATGTCAAGCTACTGGTGGACACGAATGTACCGAAAACGGAGATTTCAGCTACACACAATGTGAATATACCCAGGAGGGGCAGGTCTGCAAATGCGTCTATTCCAATGGACTCACCAAGGCGTCCACTGAAATGAGATCTGAAGTTCCTCACTGCAACGCTTGTGAGTAATGATAAGATATATCAGTTTTAGCGGTGACTAATACTTTATTTATTTGTTTCGTAGCTGAATAATACATCAGATAAAATATCTAAACTTTTTAATTGAAACCAAACATCTCTTCTTCCTCTATAATACCTGATCACTTTCACAGATGAAATTATGAAAACTGTAATAAATAAATAAGTTTTCAATTTCAAATTTCAGATCCTTACCTATCCCTGACCAAGTGTCAAGCCATGTCGCTGATGTCACCCACAGTAACTTGTCTACCCTCCGGGGAGTATGCTCCTGAGCACTGCTCCAAGGTAAACGGACAATCATGATATTTGTTTATGCAAAAAGGTTTCCAAATGATGAGACTTCTCGCTTCTAAACTGTATTGGTCACTAAATGTCAATAAAGTAGCACTAGTAATCACACACGACAATTGGAATAGTCCGCACGTCTACTGTTCATGAACCGCTAAGATTAGTACACATTTAAATGATAACGCTGTCGACAGATCCTAACAATAATCTCCTCTGCACTTTAGTCAGCTGTTCGGAATATTCGGAGAATTTCTGTTTACAGACCGCTAAACTTAATGACAAAGCTATCAGCAGATACTGCACGATCTTATATCCCGATAACGCTCCCTAACTTACGAAACACTCCCGTTAGCACTAAAATTACGGACGATGTTTCGACAAATAAATCAGACTAACCGACTCCTCCCCCCTCAGGATGTGTGTTACTGTGTGTACTCTGACGGATCCATTGTCAGTGGAACTGGAACCCCCGTCAACGCCATCAGACGGACTTCTTGCGAGGACCTCATCAAAATGAACAACGGCAACGGTAACGGTAACGGTAACGGCAACGGTAACGGTAACGGCAATGGTAACGATCACGACAATCTGGAAATGACGACTCCCATCATGAACCGACAAACCACGGGAGATATGTCCTCGACTCCGTCTGCTCAAACTATTGAGTCTACCTCTTACATACCCGATCTCAACCCATCGTAAGTGATACTTTTAGTTATCTATTACAAGTTAATTTGTTATTTTCATAAATAAATGTCTGATTAAATTTTATATCAAACTTCATAACTGGTGGGTTGGTGAAATAAATTAACATAAAACTGAAGTAAAACTTATTTTATTGCATAATAAATTCGTACGAAATTGTGGCCTTCTGCTGAGATCTTTACGACCGTTTCAACTTCCTTTAAAAAAGGGGGTCACTTGCCTATAATCAGTTATCAATCCCATATATCAGTTCTATCGGGGAACGAACCTTTTGCGCTTTTTCAAAATTGTATTCCAGAATTGGGAGGTCAAACTTCTCAAGATAAGATGGCATGGGTTGGGAGTCAATTTAAGTCAATTATTATAAAATTGTTGATAAAAAGAATTATTTACAAAACATTCTCACTTGTCATAATGAATCTAATTTACTAATTTCAGTAAATAATTATGGATTGTTTCAGACCATCTACATAGACATATCCTGCACAAATTCATTTTGGTACTCACTACTCACAAAAGCCTCAAAAAAAAACAAGTCCATGAATGAAAAGTCGTAATTTCACTCAGCAAATACCGATTTTATAAGCCTTGTGCATTTGAAGCAGCAGTACCGTGCAATCATCATCCCATTGAGCATAAATTTGAATTTTAGCATACACATTTGAATTTTAGCATTCCTAGCATTGTTCGCATTTAGTTCGTTGTTTTGTATAATGAAAAAAAAATAAGGTTTTAACATTTTTAAAAAGAGTTTTCTCCGTCGCAGCTGTTTGTATCTCTTTAAAAAGTATTTTTTACTAATCTGCAGTTTTCATGAAGTGATTGTTCAAAAAACATAATAATTTTTACGCATTTTTATGCAGTATTCTGGAATGCTTTCATTACGTGATTGTGATTCATCTTCCCCAACGTAGAATATCCACATCTCCTACGCAAGAAATGTTCACCTCCAGCCAAGAGCTACTCGATTCTCTAAATCTAATTAGGACTGGATCTCCGTACACCGAATACGAGCAGTGGAGCGATTGGAGCGAGTGCTCGAAAGAGTGCGGAGGCGGAAACATGCAACGATCGAGGGTGTGTCCTAAGAAGAACGGAGCTTGTGGAGGTCCTGATATCGCTATGTCTTTTGGAGAATGTAACAACATTCGGTGTATTGCAGGTAAGACAGGTGGTCCAAGACACAGGCTAGTATATCTTGATTTGTGATGTTTATTCAAACGTTGCATTATCATTACTATCATAAGATCGTAAGATTTTAATGAATTATGTTCTAACTATCTCTTAGTTTTTTATCCCCTTTCAGACTTCTGTCAAACCTTTTCTAAAATCATGTAGAACCTATATTCCAACCAGCACACATTGAGGAGCTTGAATATGAGTGGTCGACAGACAGCAAACACGTGACCATCACCTGTGCCGCCATTGGCCTCCCAAAACCTTATGTTGTCATCAGGAACGACGAGGGGTTCATCAGTGAAGATGACCAAATAGAGGTAACATTCGCCTATTTTACTGTTGAACCTGGTAATAAATATATGTGTCAATTTTGAATTCTCTGAAATCTCAACGATTTAAATCTTTTTGATAGTTAGCATTCTCATTAACTCATACATTTTTAATGTTACAGAACATAAAACTACTTCCGTAGGTTAATATACTTGGGATCTTCTTCTTTCTTCTACTCGTATTCTTAACTGTCTATTCTCATTCGGGAAAGGTCTTATTATATGATTAAAAAAGACTTCATGGTACTTCATCTTTTCATAAAACCTCAGCTAACAGAACCTTACAACCCCTTCTTGCCTCCTTCAATGAATATGAATCCGACAATGATTCTAACGTGGGCACTGCACACTTGCAGTTGCACAGTTAACAATCTGGTCTCAAATTTACTGATGTTCACAAAATTTCTGATTAATTTTTTGTCGCGACAAATGAAAACGCTTGCCCTTTTAAGGCTGCCACAATTCCTAACAAATCAAACATTTGACTTGGTCGCTACAAAGTGTTAATCAGAAATTCCGAACTCCAAACATTTTTAACTCGACTGATAAACAAAGCTCTTATCCTGAAACAACGTATACCAGATACCTACATTCTATCCACCAATCAGCCTATATATTCTAACTAGAAGTCAGACTGTAATCTTCTCCCACATTCCGCACGTCAAACCTCTCTCTTTTCTTCGTGAGCATCACTCTTTGATTGTGTGCATGACTTCTTTAGAAACTAAACTTAGTATTTAGCAATCTCAGGTTGACGGAAGGATCGTGGTAAGATACCAGATAACGCCCAGAGAAGACACGAGATTGAGGTGTATTGCTACTGGAGAGGATTCTCAAGAGAGAAGAGAGATTGAAATCGTTGTTAGACCTGGTCAGTTCTTGTATATCTTGGGATGTTTTCTCCGGAGTTGAGAGGCTGCATTTTATTGCAGAACAAAAACAGCTACTGATATTAAGTGATCTTATCAAGTAATAAGCAAGTTAATTGGCAACAAACGAGTTTATTAGTTACTAATGGGTTAATAAAGCGAAATTAACACCTCTCTTCATTTCAGGCCGTGTGGACAGTTTCACATCCTCAAGTCCTGCACTCTACCTAGGACAGGAGCTAACCCTTCGCTGTTCAGTGGTGGGACTCCCTAGACCTGACATCAGACTGCTCCGAAATGGGGCCACCTTAGAGGTTACCAGACATTTCCTACACTGTATCGAATAGAGTTTTCACTTTTTGTAATCAGTCCTGATCTAATTTCAAGTTCCTTTAATTGACTTTGTTTGCAATCGGCAAACTGGCTACACAAGTATGATTGTTACATTATAACCGCCTCCAGGAGACCTCCACCGAGGAGCTGGTCACCGTTGTTACACCTGAACAGGATACCGAATACAGCTGTGTCGCTCTCTACGGTTAGTTATCTTTCTAGTTAACTTCCTTTACAGGGCACTATTTTATTAAATGCAGTCGTCGCAATTATAATGGTCGCTAAACACATGTCGTGGGAGGATGAGATGTTGTTATGATAAGTGCACTTCCTCTCTAAATCGAGAATATTATAATAAGCTAGTATGAGTATGACAGTACATTGACAACCCTTCAATCCTTATGTTGTTTTATCAAACAATCATTATATGATAATTTATATCTCATAGCATGATGATCATAAAATCATAAATTGTCAATCCCCAGATAATGCTGTTGTCGACACGTCAGAGCCACTTACAGTAGTGGTAGTTGATCCTTGTGTGGGAGTACAGTGTCAGGACCACGCCCTCTGCGTGGTGGAGGACGATGGCAACACCACTTGTACCTGTAAAACTTGTGATCAAAACGACCTTGATGACGTTAATCCGGTGGGTTTTAGAGCGCAAAGTGGAGATTGTTTTGTTGGGTTTCATCTCGATGATTTAACGTGTTAAATCATTGAGACAAAAGTCGGCAAAAACAATTTAAGATATTTACGAGAATATTGGAGGGAAGTATTTAAGGTGTTACTGTCTAAATGATTTAAATCATATTCGCGAATTAAAACCTGAAATATAAACTTGATAACCCAGGTATGCGCTAATGATTGTGTGACATATCTCAACAAATGTGATATGGAGAGTTCTTCTTGTCTCCTATCAACCTCCCTCTACTCTATCTTCGATGGACCCTGCTCTGTTATAGGTTTGTAGAATGGCTTCTATTCCCACGACGATATTCATATGATTTTCGGAAGGTTCTGAGCAAATTAACAATTACAATTACATAATTCCAGAACCCACAACAGGAAATTTAAAATTTTTAATCTTAGTTGAAGATGCGCAAAACCGGTTCTTTTGCGATAGTCAAAACGCGACAACTAGCGCTGGATGGCGACAACTAGCGCTATCCAGCGCTAGTTGTCGCCATCCAGCGCTAGTTGTCGCTATCCAGCGCTGGATAACGCTGGCCAGCGCAAAATATATATGTTCGATAATTGTCGCTATCCAGCGCTAGTTGTCGCCATCCAGCGCTAGTTGTCGCCATCCAGCGCTAGTTGTCGCTATCCAGCGCTAGTTGTCGCTGGCTATGCGACACTGTCGCATGCGATAGTTTGCGATGGCCAGCGCAACTGGCCATCGCAGAAAACAGTTCGATAACTAGCGCTGGATAGCGACAACTAGCGCTGGATAGCGCTAGTTGTCGCCACCCAGCGCTAGTTGTCGCGTTTTGACTATCGCAAAAGAACCGCAAAACCTTAATCGTCACACACTGTGGAATCTGTAAGAATGTAAAGGTTAACATATCTCTAATTTGTATAATCCTCCAGAAGCACCTGAGGTTACGGGAACGTGCCCCGAAAGTGAGATTCTGGAAGGTAATGATATTATGCTGGAATGCTCGGCTACCGGAATGTGGGAAACAGCAGTATGGTTAGTGAGATTTTGATTAGATCTTAATCTGGGTTTCAATTACAATTTAACTGTAAGATGTTCTGCGCGGAGCCTACCAGTTTTATGTTAAATCAAAGGTAGGCAGCAGAAAAGTCTTTGAAAATTAATGGGGAAAAAACGTCACAAATTGTAAAACACGTCATGTAAACTATGATAATGTAAACTATGGTGTACAGGACTAAAGGAGGACAAGTAGTAGGACGAGGAACAAGACTGAGACTGAGCGGTGTCTCTACAACTGACTCTGGTCTGTACACTTGCAGTGTATCCGGGTGTGGGGGGACTGCTGAAGTTACCTGCCAGGTATGTGGAACACAACCATTTGTTTTTTAGTTACCTGCCAGGTATGTGGAACTGAACGGTGAATAAGTAGCCCAAGTCATTATTCGCTGTGTTATGAACAGTTTGAGTTTTAACAGACTTTTAATTTGATATTTAATATGGTAAACGGCTTCTTTGTGTCTACCAAATACGTAGTATTGGAAGTATCGAGATAACAACATGTAACTAAATTTTCTACAAACAATTTTAGGTGAACGTACAAAAGAAGGATACAGAGACATGTATGCAATACGGAGCAGGTCATTTCCATCAGTTCAGTGGAGCTAAATTCAACTACCCCGGTATTTGCCACTACGTTCTGGCTATGGACTGTGTGTACGGCTCTTTCTACATCTACACAGGTATTTTTACATGACTCATACTAGTTACAAACTCTCCACAGATCACCCATTCTGAATGACGAATTCTGTTACTAAAATAAAATAAAAATTAGGTCACGTGGTATCCGATTAACACTCTCTTTAACGAATCACCTTCTAGGTACCTCACAATGTGGTTCTGAAGATACCCCTCTCGCCTACGCCTCATCTGTCACTGTATACGTGGGTTGGGATGCAGTTGTACTCCTCAGAGGATTTGATGTTAACGAATTTGGTGTAATGAAGCATATTGCTCCTGGAAAAGAGCTCTTCTATCAAAACTTCAGGTTTGTTGAAGTGTTTTTATTGCAATCCATTGTTTAAGTACCAAACTTAAATTTGTTGTGATTCTTCATGTTTATTGATTTGGATAAATAAATCTGCCCTAATCAGTGTTTAAATGATTAAGTGTTCTCATTCGAAAAGATACCAGCAAATTTTATTATTTTAATTTTTAAGTATAGCTTAAATTCATTCTGGAAATTTATTGATGATTTATATTGCATGTTAACCAGTTGAAACATTTAGTTAAGTAAAATGATTTAATAATAAATTCACACAGTAAATCAACTCTATAATAATCTAAGATCTGCTTCTCTTGTTCTTGAAGAAGTTCCTGATTTGCTTAGCCGTGAGTCCGGTCTGCTGAGACAACATCTGCACCGTCTCTGGATCAGGTCTCTTGTTAACGTTGAAGACAGACTCCATTAAATTCTTTGCTTCTGCAGTAAAGTAGTTGTTGGTAGAGGGCTGGACAGATGAAATGGAGGCTGGGATAGGGTTCTGTTTTCGGAGTCTGTATTTGACCGCTGGGGTGAGGTGTTTCTTTAGGTTCTTGGTTTTGATGTGTATTTCGTATACCGCGTTAAACCACATCTTCTGTAAGGCAGCATGTTCGGAAGTAGAGAAGGAAGAAGTAGTGATGTAGTTGAGGAGATCATCCCACTGCTCGGAGGTGGAGAGACAATCAGCTACTTTGTAGTCGGGACTAGGATCGGGGACAACGGGAACTTGATCGTTGGAGCTCTTTCGTCGTCGTTGAGTAGAAGCTGGCTTTGTGTATGGATTAGGAGAAGATGGTTTTAACACGGGTTCACGGACGGGATTGGGGATAGGTTCCGGGGTAAATTGCGGGATTGGTTGCGAAGTTAGTTCCTGATTGTCATCAAGTGGTTCGAGTAATTCCTGTTTCACTGCAGTCAAATTCAAGACAGAGGAACAAGAGGAATCCAGCTGAGATTTAGAAGTGTCCAGTCTGGAGATATCAAACTTTACAGATCTGTTGAAAGGGAGATACGCAGAGAGGGAGTCCTCTAACGCGGGGTGAGCTGTGTATCCGGTATAAAGCTCTTCACATTGAATCGGGAATGGGAGCATGGGAGGGAAACAGAAAGAGGGAGGAAGGGACCAGTTAGCAGAATTCATCTTGATAGGACTAAGAGGAGCGAGAGGGGGAGGAGGAGGAATGTTGAAGTGAAGTGGTAACGGTCCGCTGTTGAGGAATAACTGATCCATTGCTGAATTGTGATCTGTCTGTTGAATTGGTAAAAGGTTGAATGTTAATATGTTATCGGGTTTTGAGATTGCTTATATGTTGCAATCATTTCTTATCGTTTAGATAACAATCCTTGACACCAGTGGTCGACGTACAGTGTGTATAATACACATTGTATCGGAGGCGTATATTTACGAAGTGTTATCTGATATGGGGTGTCAAGTGTAAAATTGCATGTGAAGTGATGTGAGCCACTATGTGAGCCGCTATGTGATCCTTTCGTGATCACATGAGAAACAAATCCGATCCCGGGAGATCAGGTGACAAAACGTCACAGGTAAACCCTGCCTATGCCGGACGGTAAACGAGTAAATCCAATCAAGAACAGTCAACCCTATCAAACAGACTTTTTTGGATCAGGTTTTGTGTGGGGTTCTGAAAAGCTGGAGTTCATCGGCTGGAATTTTAAGTCACCCGTTTGGAAACATACTAGAATGGATATCAGTATCACATTGAATTGAGATTTAACATAACATGCAAATAAGACCATTAGATAAAACACGTGTTACATTTATTTTTCAGCGATTAAAAGTTTCGAAATTGAAACTTGAAATATTTAAGACTATAATTCGCCCAACAATAAACCTCACCTTCTCCTTCCCCCAGGATCTGGAGAGAACGTGACGTGATGTACCTGACCCATCCTGCCACCAACTTCACGCTGGGCTGGGACGGATTGACTGTAGTGACCCTGACAATGAGCAAGACCTACGCTGGTCGTCTGTGTGGTCTGTGTGGAGATGTGGGTGTGGAGTATAACGAGGTGGAGGATCCCCAGTCTCATGGTGCCAGTTACGAAGTGGACAGGTTAGTCACAGGGCATAATGTTAGATTGTTAGAAATGAATTTAACGCATATTTGGTTTTGGTGAGCAAAGATTTTCAGATTGAATTTTAAAATGTATGACTTATCCAACACAATATTTGAATTGTCTCCCATGCACAGGAGGTTCAAGACCCATTTATTCCTCCAGATACGACAGATGTAACATAGCAGATGTGCCAGTACAGACCTGGGCTGATCAGGCAGAGTATGATATGGGTTACGCAGCTTGCTACGAGGCCCTTTACTCTGAACAGCTCTCAAAGTGCCATGGTAAGACTGACATGATGTTGATCTGGTTCTCGAGAAAAAAAATCTGGTTCTGCAAGCTCCCACTATCTCTTGACGCCACCAAAAGAGCTTGTACTGCATGTCAGCTCATTACAGAGCTTTTAACGCGTAATCTGTTTCATGGTAGAACATTTCGAATAAATGCAGCGATGTTACTTTTTTGCGGTTTGAATTTGATCGCCGAATTATGATTATAATCACTTCCTTTTAAATGATTTAACTGTCTGCTAAGTTCATCGCGATAATACAATTTGTGGGATACAAATTGATGAAAAATGAATCACGGCGTTAAATTTGACAACTATGACGATTGACGACCCAGATTAAGTTCATTAGGTAATAATCCAGGGGAGTTAATTTTATATCAAGATTTCTACAAAAACCTCGTACGCTTTATCATAGTTTCCTCGTAATAAAAATCTGAGCTACGATCAATATCTTCATTCTTCAAGTGGTCACCACTCACCAACTCCAAAGTTACCAAAGAATTGTTTTTTAAATGTTTACTTAATGCCCTCCCAGGTGTGGTAAATGTGGACGAGTACCTTGACGCGTGTATTTACGATGCTTGCGGAGTGAAGTGGCTGAATAACTTCCACACGGGAATGTGTAACGTGTTGAGTGCATACTCCATCGCTTGTGAAAACATGGGAGTCAGCATGAGTGGATGGAGAGATGGAACTGTCTGTCCTAGAGAGGTAGGAAATTTAGAGATTAACTTAGTTACCAACTAAATTACCAACTTAGTTACCAACTTAGTTACCAACTTAGTTACCAACTTAGTTACCAACTCAGTTACCAACTTAGTTTCCAACTTAGTTACCAACTTAGTTACCAACTTAGTTACCAACTTAGTTTCCAACTTAGTTACCAACTTAGTTTCCAACTTAGTTTCCAACTTAGTTTCCAACTTAGTTTCCAACTTAGTTTCCATCTAAGTTTCCAACTTAGTCACCAACTAAGTCACCAACTAAATAATCACCTTAGTTACCAACTTAGTTACTAACTTAGTTACCAACTTAGTTACCAACTTAGTAACCAACTTAAGTACCAACTTAGTTACCATCTTAGTTACAAACTTAATTATCACTTAAATTACTAACTTGGTTACCAACTTAGTTAAAATCTTATCTACCAGTTTAGTCACCACATACAAAGTAGTTGTAGATTAATAAATGTCTATTGCTAGGACAGACGAAGTTAGATTAAAAGTCCATACTTAAGGATATGTATCAATATTCGATACCTGATTGTATGTACGTTATTTTTATGATTAAATATTTTAACTCCGTTTTAACGTGTAATGGCTAGCATTCGTTAGAAAATAAATGATATTTTTAACCTTATCTTTCAGACTGATTTGGTATTTTCCTTTATCGCTGTGGTGATCTTAAGAGAGTTTTTGAAACTTTTGGCTTTCGAAAATTTTTCATTCGGACCTAAATGAACTGAGGACTCTTAGTGCTTTTTTAGAGTTTTCTTCAATGTTTTTAAGAGTTACTTGCAAAATTTCCTGGAATATTTTTGCCCTCAGAGCGATATGTTTTCAAGAGACAAGCGGGTAAACCAGTTACCTAGAGTTTAGTATCATTATTTAGGGCACTTTTGTTGATCAAACTTGCCCTCTAAGCACTCTTGTCTGATCAAACATACGAGGAATTCTTACAAATGTTCCCCTGATTAGGGCCAAAAATGTTCACAATGTTTTTCTAAGAAAAGATAGAGACATTTGTCTGCATGATGTATTTTGCAGTATTGATCAATCGTATCATACAGCCCCTAGAAAAAAGATTATTCGAACTCCGACATCTATAATTTTATAGGTCGACTGTCATCCCAGATAATTAAGAGAATTGTAAAATCCTGAAATTTAAAAGATTTAAATTTCATTTTCCTAAGAGCAATCTAAGTGCAGTTGCACGTTGATAGTTCTAGCGTAAAAAAGCCGACTTGAACAATATATACTACCTAATTTAAATTTAAAAGGTGAATCAAGCGTTCTCTTACAGTAACATATAACCCAGCTTTTAGTATGTGATTATTTTACCAAAACCCATAATCATGGGTAGAGTGGACCGCTGCCAGTGTCTCTCTTTCCCAAACAAAAGGAAATGATATTAATTTGATTGACCGTTCTCAAATGCAAAATGATACCGAGAATGAAATCGGTCGCTCGCTTTTCCCATTCATTCACGGCTTACGAATTGTAATAATTTTCGATTGATTACATGTCAATCAGATGCTGTAAAAATCTCTTTGGGTTGCGTTCGGGTCGATACCTAGTATTTCGGGGTAAGGGTGGTAGTTATCACTTATTGCATTAGCTGAAGTTTATTGAATCTTTATTGCCGAGTACAGCTGCCTTTGGGTAGTTCTTCTTAATCTATTACAATTGTAAATGAATGGGAAAAGCGAGCGACCGATTTCATTCTCGGTATCATTTTGCATTTGAGAACGGTCAATCAAATTAATATCATTTCCTTTTGTTTGGGAAAGAGAGACACTGGCAGCGGTCCACTCTACCCATGATTATGGGTTTTGGTAAAATATCATCTCTTTTTGATTATAATGTCAGGGTACTTTATAAAGTCGAAATGTAAACTGATATCTTCATTATAATAAGGAGGAAGTTTCAACGATTTCGAAATTTTTCCTTTAAAAACATTTCCTTGTGTTTAGGTAAGCATATCGGTCCATCACTGACTGAATATACCACTTAATACTCATTCAAGTTGACATTAAATTCATATATAATGACATTAAACTGTCGTGGCAAAGCAGAATTTGTTGGAAATCACGAATGAGCAAAATTCTCACCTTTCGCACGTGCAAACTTTGAGCGGACGTTGCATGCGCATCCAACATTGAATCGCCGTAAATTTTTGCATGTAATTGTTTTATATATAGTTTGATAAGCATGCAAAGTTTCAAAGTATTTCAAGAAGAACTGTAATCACAACGGCACTCTAAAGTTGACAGAAAATGACGAAAACAGCAATTTTCAGTGATTTTAGCAATTTTCTATCAATTTGGGCGTGTCCCCACGTGTGCAACTTTTCGATTTTCAACTTTAAAACTAGCCTAATGCACAATTTATACCTATAGGAAGCAGAACTGAGCTCCACAACCCAAGGCATGGCCCAACACCAAAGAATACTAAATCGCAAAATTGACGTTTTTATAAAATAATTCTTCAAAAAAGCACAAACTTCAATGACAAATATCTTTATGAAGGAGCAAGCTAGAAAAACTTTCCGGTAGATTTTCAGAATGCTTGAACAATTATCTAAGATGAAAATTTCCTCAGATTTTGAATAAAATTACTCCTTAATGGGTTAAAATTAATTTTAAAAGTTATTACTTTGTCAAAAATCAAGTTTTAAAAACGGTTAACTTGATGACGTCATCAAGGGGTGTTTATGACGTCAAATAAATTTTTTATACAATGTAAACTAAAGTGTAAACAATTATTTGCAAGACCTGTGGTCGGAAATGGCTGTATCTTTTATACTTTTGAATTTATGGACACTTAAATATAGGCTACAATTGACTGGCAAAGCGTCTATCCCTGAATATATATGTATCTCTATCTATGACCCGACAATCTGTCGTAAAACAGGGGTTCTAGAAAACCCATTTCCCGATGCTCCTGAAACCTGAAACTTTTTTTGCAGTCAATTTGGTCAACGTCTAGACGCCCTGAAAAATTTCAAATCTCTAACTCAATTTTAACATGGTTTTTAGGACACCTGAATATGGCGATTTTGGGTTTTTTACCGAATTTCGTATAACAGTGCTGGTGAGTATTTTATGCAAATTTCTTAAAAATCTGAACATAACTAATTTTTATTCCTGTCATCTTTGACATCAAATTAGAATGTTTTGAACTAAAAATAAATCTGCTGAACGACTTCCGATGAGTCTTAATGCCTGGAAAACTCCTGCCGGAGGCGGCGGCCTTCGGCCGCCGCCTCCGGCCGGAGTGCACGCTTCGCGTGCACAAAAGAGGCTTGTAACGTGTACCAAAGGGGGTATAATAGTAAAAGGGGTATAATAGTAAATGGGGAACATAGTATTCCCACAATAAATGCAACGGTCGTGCTTGCCAGCACTGTGATATAGTATGTATTCTGCTTCAACCTCTAAAATATTTAATTGCTGTCAGTTGTCACACCCCTTTTGTCCCGCCGCAGCTCTACAAAATCTTTCCTTCACTCTTACCTTCGCTATTTAATGTTTAAACTCTAACCATTTCCCTTTTGCAGCTGATGCACAAGATCTCCTACATGAGCAAGAAACGCAGACGTAGGAAGAGAGACGCTGGATTCTCCGAGTATGACATCATGTTGAGGGGAGACTGAGAACAAGATGGAAAATAGACTACTGGTGACACGACACGCAACTTCCCTTCTTACACCACGCTATTCTAGTCACGTGACTCGCGAGCGATGTGTCACGTGTGTGAGGTCACGTGATTCGCGAATGACGTCACGAGATTACAAACGCGTTTGAGCGCTGAACACTGAACAGTCTGCTGAGTACGGCCTCATAATAATAATTAAATAATATAATGATGTAAAAATATGTGTAGGTTTAAAACCTTTGATTTATTATTTGTTTTATTTGATATAATGCCGGGACCATGACATGTTTTACATGTTTTACATGTTTTGTGTATTTGTTAGGTCAACTTTAGGGTACTCGGCTCTTATATCTTCAACAGAGGAAAACCCAGTGCCTAAACTGAACTGCTAGCTTATAAATGTTAATTGATAACTTGATCCAGAGTCGAGGACCCTTATTTTATTGAAAATTGAAAATTTTAATAATTCGTAGGAGCTGTGTAAGCAGTAAATTATTTTAGAATTATTGATTATTGAAATGCTCCACGACTAGGAAGAATATTATATCAGATGCCTTAGCTTTAAGATGATCATTCGAGAACGAGACCATGCATTAAGGAAAATATGCTTTTACTTTTAATTTATTGAGAGTTCCCCCAGAATCATTTGTCTATATCTGGCTAATTTCTAACGAAATGGGTCGGCTTTATACCTATAGTTTTAATAATCAACCACCCAGCGAAACCGACCATAATTGATCCTCCCTTTACCTTCCTTGCAGTTTGGTACTTTTAACTCTACCATCACTTGATTTGTAGTGACGATATTCAGGGATGGCAGTGAGCCTGGACAACAGGAAACTCTACTTAGAGTCCTCCATTTGCCTCATTAGCTCATTATGCGTCTATATCAATTATGGACGCAATTGCCCAGCGCAAAGATCGATTAAGTAGAAATTGTTGTCTTATTCAAGTAGATGTATGTCCGTATCTATTTAGTAAGCGTGAGGGAGCCCGATCGTGCGGGCATTTCAATTTATATCGTGCCCAAGTTAATAGTGTGTATTTACTTTTAACGGAATTCTTAATAATATTTTGTTGATAGTAATAATAATTATTCGGGCTGGGTTCTAATGTTCTTAAATTCTTCTTTTACTGTTTATTTCATCGTTTTACAATCAGACGGGTTGTTTGTGGTGCGGAAAGAGGTTGTTTTTGGTAAAATTTCTACATTTTTATACCGTATTTGTGTAGGTATCGTGTCCTCGATTGCAATTGTAAATGCTCAGATAAAGAGACATTTTCAATTCAGCCTTGTTTCATGTGTACTTGTTTCATGTGTGGTCACAATGTGTCCTTAGATCTATTAGTAGTCTCCATGCCTAAATTTATCTTCATTGTATTTTAATTAAATGTAGTCACAGTGTATGTTATCAACGGTTCACGCGGTCTATCATTTATCAACAGCGTTGAAAATGTTGGCTATTTTCTAAAAAGGATCAACGGGAAGAATAATTAGGATTAAATTCAGCCTTATATTCTTTAGGACTAGTAGTTATAATGTTAAATCACATTTAACTATAATGTTTTTTATAATCTTTTAAAACGGTCAGTAGAAGGACCGTGTTATTGGTACTCCGTGTTTTAGAGAACTCAATATATCCAAGATTCGGAAAAAAGTAAAATGCTTGCTGTTAGGTGTATCCTCAATATTCTTGCCATTTGTAAATGTAAATATCATCCACCGTGTATACTAACTGTTTTATTTTCTAACACGCTTTGCAATTTCTTGTGTTTCACTTCAATTTTTATCTGTTTATTGATGTCCTAAAATTATGTCCGACAGGTAAAACATAAATTGAACATAATTTCAGAGCTGAGATGTAAGATGCATTTTTTAGATGAAACTTTTACAAAAATAATGATTCCTGAGTCCTGACGTTAAAAATAAACTGGCTGAACGAGGTTTACTCATTTCATAGAAACTCAAATATTTCCTACCAAAATATTTACCATAATTATATGACTAGACATGACACGATAACACGCTAAAACGATTTCAATAACTTTGCTTCCTTAACCATTATCAATCGTTAAGCATTAAGGGTGTGAAATTAAACTGTGCCTTCTAAGATTGTCCCAAAATTTATAACACTTCGCTATATCTAGAATTTCATTAACGTTAAGTTAATGATAGTTGTCAATACCTGGGGTATTCATACTCAAGGTGGTAAATAATTCATTATAGACCTTTCAAGTAAAACATATGACAAGGTTCTATCGTGAATGATAACGATGGTAGAACTGGAATGTTTTCATGGATTTTTATTTAAGAGTCTTTAAATTGTGGCCGGTCAGACATCTTTCATCCTTGGTATTCTATTCGTGTAGTATTTTTAACGACGTTGGATCATTTGTACAGAGTAGCATTACTGATAGCCCTTGATTCACGATGTCAATCCTTCGCAGCTCGGTGAGGCACAGTGGTGCATCTCGCCGATCTACCGTGGTTGCGAGAAGAATTATTTGATGCGCGACCCAGTAGTGCATCCCAGTAGTGCATCGCGCTACAATGATAGCCCTCTCTGGCCATTTGATTATTAGGATGAAGTATGAACTTTTGATCGTGGCATCAATAATTGTGGGTACCAAATTTCTCCACAATTGATCCCGTATACTATTTAGTATTTGCCCATCGTTAACTTTAAGTCTTAGCTTTATTTTTAAGGACGTTTTCCTCGATGATTGATTGAAATCCCCTCGTAAACAACGACTTTGTCAATATACTTTTACGCCAAGTCTGCTATGATATTAATATTCTTGCAATACAAATGTGAAATCCACCTTTGTACGATTATCAGTCGCTCAATCATTGTATTAATATTGGCTGGTTATAATTATATTACGTTGTATTAAAAGTTCTGTCTCATTTAGGTCGAACCATTTCTCAATTTAAGCCCAAAGATCAAAGCTTAACTAAATAAATAATTCGTCTTTAAGTACTTTAAGTGGATTAATACGATGTCTACCCATCCTATACCAGGTGAAATATTCGCACTAATGCTATCAGCAACAATCCAAATTGCATTCTGACGGAGTAAGACAATATCCTATTCAGTGCAACTATAGGAGGGCGCCTGATGACGCTTTGTTTGCTAATGCCCGAATAGTTGACCGGGTTCTTGTCCATTTCAGATTACCTGGCTTGGTAGATATAATTCAAAGCTTGGTTTTGCTACTTGCAAGTCCAGGGAGTGAAAATAGCATTTACTGCAGATAGAAGTATTTGCAGTGCATGAATCTAGAATCTTACTGCAATTACTGAGCAGCTGCAGATTAGATATCATTTTGGCTATCAGTATTAGCAAAATTTACTTAGCTGGCTAGTCTATAGAGTATTGCTCGTCCTCTCACGAATATGCGAGAGCCGCACCCGAGTTTGATTGAGAAAAAGGGTGCATATAAATATACCTTATCGGACCTTATTTGGACGGACATCAAATGAACGGACATAATTATGAACGGACATTAATATGAACGCTAGAAGGCACTCAAAACCATCAAAAATCCGATTTTTAAAAATTTTTTAAAACGTTTTTTTATTTCAGAAAATGATTTTTAAATCCATTTTTATACATTAAGTAAGAAAAGCAGTCGTTAAGCAGTAAAAAATGTTAAAAGATGTGTACATGATTAGTGTCTAATATCGCATATCATCTTCATCAGATGGGTTTTCGTGCATGAAATAGTTCAACGTTAAAAATTAACCTTTAAAATTAACCAACGTTGGACGTTGGCCTATAAAACGTTTAAGAAATTTTAATTCACAATAAAATTAAATACAACGTTAAAGCGCTGTTCAAATTCAATTTTAAACGTTGCTCATATCAATTGGTTTATCTTTTTGGGCGTTCGTGTAATGTTTTTTATCCCAGTTTCAACGTCTTTTCAGTTTCAACGAGTCAGCTAGAAACTTGATCTCTATTTCCCGACTTTCATAATGAGCATTAGGCTCACAACCGCTCCTACTAAATCGCTCGCCCAAATTTTAAGAAAATTCTTGTGAAAAGGCCCTTTGGGCATGAAAGTGATCGGAATCGGTGTATTTTTGGACACTGATTCCGAATCACCCCCCATGACGTAGGGCTAAAATGCTTTCCTGGAGAGTTATGGGCAAAAAACCGATTTGGTCACGTGACAGGCTAGTAAAATACGAATTCGATTGTTTAGGGCTCGGGTTAGGGTTAGGGTTGTAGTAAGGGTTATGGTTAGCTTCGGGGTTATGGTTAGGGTTAGGGTTGGGATAAGGGTTTATGTAAAACCGTTTTTTGTACGGCTGAAAAACCATAAAAACCAAAGTCACGTGAAATTTTTGGGCGAGCGAATTAGTAAGAGCCGCTCACAACAGCTGGAATAAAATAATTGAACCTCCTTTCTGGCTCACTTGTGGGCTGCTTCAGAAGGCTATACTATATATATTATATAACTGTCTAATTGAATAATTGGAAGAGAACTCCATCAGGCCTAGCTGAACCAAGCGGGGAGTTGATACACCTTTCACAAGCAAGAGCCACTTTGGTACGCCTACATGGGTCGGGGGTCCCCCCTTTTCTTTTTTTTTGGCTTTGCTGTTTGGTCTGCACTGATCACCATTATTTAGGACTCGACATGATTTAGTGTTTTACAGTGTGGAAGCTTGGGAGAAACTCTTACTCTTAGAGGGAATATCTTCGATCAGAGTTCCCGCACTCATTAGCGATTCATCAAGAGCGCTTTTTCCATGGGATTTATTTTCGTTGACTTACATATTGTGTAGTCTGAACTCTGATATTATTATCATTGTGGTAATTTAATTTCCCGCGGAAGCTGCAAGATTTTGCAGTTTTTAATTTCCGGGTGCAGATAATTATATAGACTTAAAATAGAATTAAAGTCGATGTACCAAGCGCTTAAGGGCCGTTGCATTTGCAATCTATAAAAGTATAAATAAATTGAATATTGGAGGCACTATTTAGTCTCGTCTAACTCTAATATCATAATGCGAATAAAATGGGGATGACTGCAGGCTCTGTTAACTTAGTGAGAAAAATCGCCATCAGGTCTAAATTCTTTTCTTTCTCAAGGGCTCAGGGTATATGTAATAAGATTTCAGTGATGTTTCTCCGTTTATTATTCGCATTTGTTTATTTTATACGTATAGTAATAGAGTTATAGCTTAAAGCTGATAATACGAATATGCGATTGCGCGTGACACGCTAATATTATTGACACTCTGCTGCATGATATGGTTCCAAAGAAGCCCTTTATAAGTATAAGTATAAAATTGAAAATGTTCATTTGGTTGTTAGTTAAACATTAAAATGTTATGCTTTTGACTGAGATTAAAGCTGACTTAAATTAAATAGTCAAACGCTGCCCAAGGATGATCTGATTAATAACTTTACACTCGACTATCACGTGACTGACTTAAACACGTTTTCCAAAATAGAAGTATATGGCCCTGAGAGACTATTTAAAACCCTAACACTAACAGTAACACTCTACTCAAACACTTAATGAGTTTTGAACCTAAAATAGCTTACTGATGATGCCACCATCCTCAGTAAGAACAACAGATATACAAAATTGTAGTGCACCTTATCACGCGCGGGACACGGTGGTCTGAACAATCACCTCCGTACCATTTGCAAATCAATCACCATAATTGCCTGTCCTACGTGCGGCAATGAAGAAAGGACTGTCTCGCACTTTCTTGGACAGTACCCAGATATTGCACTAGCAAAAGCTCAAGCTGGGTACTGTATTGCACAACTGCCAGGGCAATACTTTCAGGATTATTTTAGAATATTACCTCACCACCAACGACGTTTTTGACAACCAACATATTAATACTATTGCCAACTCGCACTAAGCACCTTCTTGTGCCCGAGGAACTGGACTAATATAAACCGAAATGACCTAATGCATTTTCTCGTGCTGTTTTAGCTCATTATCTCTGGTAGTGGTACTGGTAGTGGTTATACTTATCATCCTCTCGGCGCGGCATTCGGATATTTAATTTTATCAATTTCCCCTCATTCTACTTGCCACTTTACCCCCTTCGTACTCGTAGCTGTTCATAGATTCCCCCGGCATCTTCTAATTCCTGGAGGGTTGCCACACCACAAGGGCAGCAAAGCATCTCATACTATCCTTTTGTGGGCCACCTAGGTCCCGCTTCTCTATTTAAAAAAGGAAAATAATTAGCTTATACTGAGCAGAAAAAACTATTGTGTTGATCCTGACATGTACTAAATTTGAATTTAATAAGAGGTGCACAATAAATTAAACTTGATCGGATTTTCAACATTTTTGTATCATTGTTTTTTTGAAAATGTGAGCTTCTTCACAATACCAAATTTTACAATACCAAATTTGTTATACTTATATTTATACCTTTTTGGAATGATTAGTGAGTTTGATCCTTTTGGTGCGTAAATTTAAAAGTCGGGATGATGATTATAATACTCGACTGTCAGTTGACTTTTTAAACACGTTCTCTTGGTGGACCTGAATTATCGGACCTTATTTGGACGGACATTACTTGAACGGACACAATTATGAACGGACATTAATATGAACATTTCATGCTTTACTGCCGGTTTACTATACGACTGAAGTGCACAATTGTATGGAAAAGTAAATTTATTCTCAATAATACGGGAGGAGGTGTTCTAACCAAATTGTACTAATATCACCCCGTAGGTATACCGGTACCGGTACACCGTAGGTACCGGTTTATTCTC